GTGATGGCTCAGAGGTTAAGAGCACTGGCTGCTTTTTAGAGGTCCTGAGTTCAATTCGCAGTAACCACATGGAGGCTCAAAACCATCTATGATGAGATCTGATGCCCTCTTCTGGCCTGCAGGCATACATGCAAATAGAACATGGTATACATAATAAATAAATAAGTCTTTAAAAAAAACTGAAACAACAAAAGCCCACCCACATAAATTGAAGAATAATTCAGTCAGCATCACCAGGCCCAGGGATCGGTATGTGTAGCAGGAATTTCAGAGAGATATTAAATTAGAGTACCTGGGCCCTCTATGACAGGACCTGGATTTAGAGGCTGAGAGCCTGGGCTGGCAGCTCCCCTGGGGCAGAGCAGAGGGGCTATGTAGTAAAGGTAGAGACAGCTGCATGTCCTTGAGAGAGTGACACTCCTTCCCCCACCTCTGTTGCTCCCTGTTTAGTGAGGCTGCGTGCCCTCCCCAAGGGTTTAGATGGCTCTGCGTGGCAGTGCTGTTCCAGGACCTCTGTAGAGGCAGACATGACAGGTAGAGGACAGTGGAGCTGCCTCATCTGTAAAGCCACGGGAGTGTGTCACTGCTTTTCATCCAGGTCCCCAGGGCTGCACCTCTCTTAACTTGGGTAACTGTGATCATACTCAGGAATACAGCCTCCCTAGCACCCAGGCCCTATCCAAGCCCAGGATGGAGCCTGCCCCAGCCTCAGGACACGTGAGTCTCCCCTGCTGATTCCGGGGTGGTGGAGGGCAGAAGGCTGGAACTTGGCCTCCCTGAAAGGCTGAGGAATGTGTGCGTCTGTCTGCACCTGTCTGCCAGTGCATTGATCACCCACAAGGCTGAGGTACAGACAGGTGGAAACAGAGCGGACAGTGTGGCTGGAGGAATGGGGGTGACAGCGTCTAGGACAAGTCCCTCAGTTTTCTCAACTCTCCTTTCTGCCTGGGAGTGGTGTCCCAGGCAGCAGGTGCTCCCAAGTGAGGGATGAAGCTGTGCTCACTTTGTGCATCTGGCTCCCTGCTTCTCTGCAGCCCGCAGGATACTCTAGTCTCTGGGCACCTAGTATGATGGCGCCCTTGGGAGCTGAGCAGGAGGGGATCCATGCTCATACCTGGGACCTGTGTGACCTTGTGTAAGTGAATTGTGGTCACAATCTCTCCATGCAGACAGTGGTCCATCATAATGTTTTATAATTAAACATTTCTGTGCCGTGTCCCCTAGGAGTCAGGAGATGTATGTGCTTGGACCCTTGCCCGAACCCAGTGCCACACCAGGCCCTGGGATATGTTCTGCTCAGTACTGCTCTGGTGTCAGGTGACTGCTTGTGGAGCCCCTGACAGAGGGGTTCCTGTGTGTGTGTGTGTGTGTGTGTGTTTGCGTGCGTGGGTGTGGGTGGGTGTGTCTGCGCACATGTGTGTGTGGGGGTGGGTAGGTGTGTTTGTGGGTGTGTGTGTGAGGGGGTGGGTAGGTGTGTTTGTAGGTGTGTGAGGGGGTGGGTAGGTGTGTTTGTAGGTGTGTGTGTGAGGGGGTGGGTAGGTGTGTTTGTAGGTGTGTGTGTGAGGGGGTGGGTAGGTGTGTTTGTAGGTGTGTGTGTGAGGGGGTGGGTAGGTGTGTTTGTAGGTGTGTGAGGGGGTGGGTAGGTGTGTTTGTAGGTGTGTGAGGGGGTGGGTAGGTGTGTTTTGGAGGGTGGGGGTGGGTATGTGTGTTTGTGGGTGTGTGGGGGTGGTGGGTAGGTGTGTTTGTGGGTGTGTGAGGGGGTAGGTAGGTGTGTTTGTGGGTGGGGGTATGTGGGTGTGGGTGTGTGGGTGGATAGGTGTGTTTGTGGGTGGGGGTATGTGGGTGTGGGTGGGTAGGTGTGTTTGTGAATGTGTGTGGGGGGTGGGTAGGTGTGTTTGTGGGGGTGTGGGTGTGGGGGGTAGGTGTGTTTGTGTGGGGGGAGGTAGGTGTGTTTGTGTGTGTGGGGTGTATGTATCTGACATCCTTGGCCAATAAGGAAAGGGAACCAGGTCACCACACAGTGTGAGGCTGAGCAAAGCAAAGCAATTCTGAGGGGAGAGCACTCTGCATGCTTTGGGACAGGGGCGAATTGCTAGTTGTTCCAGGGGGCCAAGCGACTTACGCAAGCAAGCGTGAGGGTGCTGGGGTGTGGCAGGCCGCCAGGGCCAGTCTCGATGGGATGGACGGCAGCTCTCGCATCCTGGGCCAGTAGTGTGGTGGCGGCAGCGGCAGCGTGGGGGCTGGGCCTGGGCAGCACAGCGGGCTGCGTGGCCATGGCACTGGCAGCGGCCTCTTACCCCAGTGGTCACCAGCCCTGCCTGGCCCCCAAACTCCACACGGAGGTGGCTGACCACTATCTTGGCCTTGGGGCCTGGTGGGGAGCGAAAGGTAACCCTCTCGGGCCCCCCCAGAGCTCCAGTCCAGGCAGGCCTGCGCCATAGTGGCCTCCAGGGGCCTCCAGGGGCCCAGGCAGCAGAAATAACCAGGGCTGGAGGCCCTGGGGTGCAGAATCGCAGGGTGACAGATGTCAAGAGGAAGGGGCCATCCAGGTCCAGGGTCAGACTGCCGTTGCAGGGAGAGCCAGGGCTGGCTGCAGGGAGAGCACAGGTCTGAGGGCAGGGTGCTTCTACCCTGCGGGCCAGCCGGGTCACTGGTGGGAGGCAAAAGCGAGGGCGCCCTCCTGGATCATAGCATGGATCTGAGGTGGCCTGGCTAAGGAGAAGCCAGAGGACGAAGGCAATGGGCATGGCACCTGTAGACAGGTGGTAGATGGGGCCTCAGTCAGCCTCCACCCTGCTGAGGATCCCTGTGGGCCTGCGTCCCTTCCCGCCCTGCCTGAGCCCCCTCCCCAACTGCCTTGAAGCGAGGAAAATAGTTCCATCTGGGGAGAATTACTGTTTACATAACCCAGAGGGAAAAGAACGCAAGCAAAATCAAGAATTTTGCCTGAACTAATCCAGAGCTTAACACCCCAAAGTTATCCATCAGTGTCAAGGGGGTAGAGGCCCTGGGGAGAGGGTGAGGGGCAGATGAAGCAGCGGTACCAACAGATGTGAAAACCTAGAAGGGTGTGTCAAGGAAGAGATGGAGGGCATGGCTGGGGGAAAGCCAGATTGTAGGACAGAGGACAGACACCAGAATGGATAGTTGGATGGCATGAAACAAGGAGGACCTGGGGCTGAGAGGAAAGAGCAGGTCGGCTCAGAGACACTTGGGAAAGCCTGAGGACCGTGAGGAGCCTAAGAGGAAAGGGAGAGCCAGCCGGTGGTGCCCAATAGGAAATCAGAAGCGGAGACCAAGGCCTCGGCCCACGTAGATCAGAGTGGAAGCTTTTCCCACATGGGGTTCTAACTTTGTTCTCCACACCCTGTGCACGGAGAGGGATTATTGCCAAACAGCCCTGGCCTCTCTGCTGTCTACCCCAGCCCTTAACCCTTTCCCCCCCAGGTGTCCAGCCAGAGAACAGAGCTGAGGGAAGGATGGAGTACGGGGGCTGGAAACACGCAACACCTTGGAGCTGGAGAGCAGAAGCCTAAACTTCCGTTAGGACTCAGGGTTAGGACCCTGCAGTTAGATTTTTAGGGCCTTTCTGGGCAGGGATCCCACCTGCTACCCTGAATCTCAGGCATAGATCCAAATACCCACATTCCCCACAATGCTCAGGCCCTCAAAGCAGATGGGGGAGCTGATGTTGGGATCTAAATATGGGAGGAAAGACAAAAAGCAGGAAGTGGCATAAGGTGTGTGCCGGATGTCAGGGCACTTGGAAACCGGAAATCCAGAGTCCAGGAAGTGTTAGGACTAAGGGCTTCCACTTTCCCCACTGAGAACTGAAGACCTGGGGACTTCTCTGATCCTATGCATGAACCCTTACCTCTGAATCTGTAGCTGGGCTGAGAGCTACACAGACCTGTGCCCCACTGCCATTTATCAGACAGGATGCTTCCCCTGCCCATATCATAGGCCTGATCCCTACCCCAGGATTCTGGAGCCTTAGTGTAGAATTTGCCAGCTTCCCTAAGCCCTAGCCCCTCATGTAAGCACGTTTCTTGCTGGGTAATTTCCGAGTTCCACCTTCTGGTTCCTAACACCGTAAAGTATCAGGCTGTGAGTTCTCTTATGTTCTTGGGAGGCGGACAGAATCTAGCCCCAGCCCATCCGGGCCTACAGTTAGCCTTGCTGGACTGGTGGGATCTATAAGAAACCCTGCCTGCCTTCCCCACTTAGGCATGCATCTCCTACCCAGCTACTAGGGCCCAGCCATTGGTCAAACCTGCCTGAAGAAGAGAAGAGTGTCCTGCAGTCAGCTGTCCTCATAGTCTTCTGTAGGAGCGGCGCTGCGGTGGGCTCTCGGGAAGAACAAGCGTGGCTGTTCTCAGGCCAGGCTAGTGGGGGTTCTGGGCGGGAGCTCACAGCAGAGCCCGCAGAATGCAACTGCCCGCCCCAAACTCTGGCCAACAGCAGCCACGCTTTCCCCACAGGGACCCCTGCCAGCCACACCACCCGAGACTGCGTGGGACAGGAGCATTGTCGCCCCCAGCAGGCTTGCAGCCTGGTGGCCCTGGACACACTGGCTTAGAAGGATCCAGGCAGGTAGGAGGACAGCTGTCGGTGGGGGTCCTGAGATTGGGATCCTGGCCTGTTCCCACTTGCCCTATCCCCTCTTACCTCAGGAGTTTAGCTTGCCAGCCCCTTGCTTCTGGCTAAATTCCAGCAAGTGCCAGTCCTGCATCTTCCTGCCACGTGTGGGTTAGCTGGTGTTCAGGTCAGGCCGACTGCAGAGGAAGCGAGGCCAGGCTGTCTGCGAGGAGAGCGGTGAAAATGGGTCTCCAGCCTGGTAGAAGTGGGGAGGAAGAGAGGACAGCTGAAGTGCAATAGTGCAGCAGCTGATGTTCATGATGCTCACACAGTCGTCGTGTTCTGGGTACCGTGGCTTCCCTCTGGGCAAGGCACAGGTGTGTGCAGTTTCTCCTAGAGCCTTGGCCCTGTCAGGTCACCTACCAGACAGAAAGACAGGAAGCTAGTTTGTTCTGTAGACAATTAGATGTGGTTTGCTGAGTGGGAACAGGAGCTGGGACTTCAGAGCGATGGCCAGGAGAAGAGAGCCTTGTCCTGTCTGTTAGGACATTGGAAGAAAGTTGGAGTCTGCTGTCCGATCCTCCCCGACTGCCATGGTGAGTCCCTAAGTTGTCCCCAAAGGAACCATTACTCCTTACTTTGTTCTGGGTAGCCTGAGCTGGCGAGGTGATTGTCACCCAGAAGACATCCCCTGTGCCATGAATGAGAAAAGGAGCATTAGAAGCACAAGAGGGAGAGCCACACCTACCCAGGAAGTGGCGGGTCCCCAATTCAGAGGTGATATGGGGGCTCTCCAAATATGGGAACCTTAAGCCTCACAGGGCCTGACTTCAGGAGAGCTCAGGCCTTTGTGCCCACCACAGTGACTCTGGTGGAGGTTCAATATCACAGGCCTTAGTAAAGAAGCTGGGGAGGTCAGCCTCTAATCAGTCTGCCAGATGTGTTTTCTAGGTCTTGGGGCAAAACAGCCTCAAGAGGGCACTCTTGAGATAGCAAAACGAAGGCCAGGCCTTGCCTCAAGATGGCAGCAGCAGAGCCCTTCCCAAAGCAGCTGCATTTCCCAGGAAGTGCTTCAGAGGCCCCAAAGCTGCGCCCTCTCTGGAGCCCTGTGGCTTCTCCCTGACCCAGGTTCTCTGTCCGTGCTCTGCTCTGTGGTCCTGTGGCCGGACCGGAAGCTCCATTTTGAGTTGGGCAGAGAACCAGGAGATGTGAAAGAAAATGGTTGGGATAAATAAAAAGTTGTGTGTGTGAGGGGGCCTCAAGTAGATCACTGAAGGTGTTTCTAGCACACCTGCTGTGGATGCTGTGCGTGTCTTGTGGTCCAAGCTGGCTGACCTTGCTGGGGACCCAAGTTAAATGCCAAGAATGTTCACAGTTTCAAAAATGATCAAATTAATATTATGCCCGGATTATGGAGTTCCCCCAAAACCAACTAGGAGACCGAACCCTGTATGTAAAAGCAAAGAGCCTTTATTCTTACACAAGTTTGCAAACTCGGACTCTCCGTGTGTCCAACGTATTGGAGTGATCGGAGAGCCTGGAGCTCAGTTAGGGTTGAGTTTTTATAGTAACAGAGGTAGGGGTGAGGGATTTCTAAGGCTCAGGACCCCTGATTGGCTGACATTTGTCTAGGGGTGTCCTGGTGAAAAGCGATGGCTGTGTGCTGGCAGGTGATCCTATCTACAGTGGTTGGAACATTGGGAATTTCCTTTGGATGGTATGTTCCTGTGTGGTGCAGGCTTAGGGCTTTTCCTGGAACCCGGTGCTGCCTGCTATGGCAGCTGTGCAGCCTGGGCCCCACATGACCTGGGCCCCACGTGTGGTCAGGCTGCCCTGGGCCCCACATAACCTGAACCCCCCCCCCCCCATGTGTGGTCCGGATGCCCTGGGCCTCACATAACCGGAGCCCCACATGTGTGGTCAGGCTGCCCTGAGCCCCACATGACCTGAGCCCCACATGTGTGGTCAGGCTGCCTTGGGCTCCACATTCCCCCCTTTTCACAAGAACCAGGTGACAGGCATTTCAGCCTGTTTCGGGCAGGGAGCATGGGACAACATGTTCTTTTCTATAGTTACTTCGAACTGACACTGGGGCATTGTTATCAGGCCCCAGGAGGCTGAAAGGCTAGCCAAACTCAAGGAGAGAGTTCAGGCAATGGGGCATTCTTCAGAAGAATCTGGCTTTCAGACTCTATTGAAAAGACAGGGGGCACTCACATCAGCTGGACTGGTCCACGTCAGCTTCCAGGAAGTCCAGGGCTCCCAGTCATTTGGAGCAGGTTGTACTCAGCAACTGGTGCTTAGATGTGTCTGCCAGCCAAGTGGGAACCTATTGACACAAGTTTAAACTAGGAACAGAAGTTAAAATTTATGTACTTAAAGGAAAATAATACATTTGAAACTTTCAGGCCCATACTGAAATCCACATAATAGAAAAAAGCAGATAACGGGTATCTGTAAAACAGCAGGAATAAACTCATACCTTTGAGTCCTAGCTAAAACTACAGATTTTTTTTTTAAAGATTTATTTATTATGTACACAGTGTTCAGCCTCCATGCCTGCAGGCCAGAAGAGGGCACCAGATCTCCTTACAGATGATTATAAGCCCATGTGGTTGCTGGGAATTGAACTCAGGACCTCCTGAAGAGCAGTCAGTGCTCTTAACCTCTGAGCCATCTCTCCAGCCCAAAAAAACTACAGATTTTGGTTTGTATATTTTTCTATTGTCCAGACAGCCAGGTATGGATTGGTCAGAGATGTCCTTAGCCTGATGAGAAACATCTTAAAGTCTATACCTAGATGACAACCAAAATAAATGACCCAAACAGTAAGTAGTCATTGCTCTCTCAGCTTATCAGATATACCACAGAAGGGGAAAGGAATCAGAAACATTTTCTTGTTGGAGAAGGAAGTCTGCTTGTTCATTCCAGGCGCTCAGCCCTGAAATCATCACACAGAAACTGTATTAATTAAGTAATTGCTTGACCTATTAGCTCTAGCTTCTTATTGGCTAACTCTTACATCTGAATTTAATCCATTTCCATTAATCTGTGTATTGCCCCATGGCAGTGGCTTACTGGCAAAGTTCCGGCATCTGTCTCCTGCAGGCCTAATGGCTTCTCTCTTATTCAGCCATTCTTTCTTTCAGCATTCAGCCTAGCTTTTCCTGCCTACCTAAGTTCTGCCTTGCTATAGGTCCAAAGCAGTTTCTTTATTCATTAATGGTAATCATAGCACACAGAGGGGACTCCCACATCATCTCCCCTTTTCTGTTTAAATAAAAGAAAGCTTTTAATTTAACATAGCAAAATTACATATAACAGAAAAGGTATCAAACAAGAATTCAGTTACAATATTTATTTATTTTTATTTAAATTCATTTTATGTGCATTGGTGTGAAGGTATCAGGTGCCCTGGAACTGGAGTTACAGACAGTTGTTAGCTGCCATGTGGGTGCTGGGAATTGAACCCTGGTCCTCTGGAAGAACAGACAGTGCTTTTAACTGCTGAGCCATCTCTCCAGCCCCCAGTTACAATATTTATAGCTACTTTATCTTTTATCATAACTAAGGAAAACCATAACTATAAATTCTTCAACTCCATCAAAGACTCCAGAAGGATATAATATTTCCTAAGTAAACAGGAAGTACAGTGTTCGCAACTTCCGAACTCTAGAATTGACAGGGACATCTCGCTGTCTGGACAGTCACCCAGAGTTTTTCTGTACTGTTGGGACATCCATCTTCAGCCCACTGGCTTATAGTATCCAGCAGACTTTTCCATGAAGCAGGAAATTACAAAGACAGCTCCACCTGTATTGGCAGTTTGTCAGTCACTTTCTTCTGTGTCCTGCAGAGCGGGAGCGGCTGGTGGACTCTTTCATGAAGCAGGAACTCCGAAGGACCATCTCACCTTTAGGCAAGTTCATCAGTCATTGCAGTGTGGTCCTGCATGCCCAGTTTCTTGCCCACACGGCTAACCAACTCCTTAAGGAGCCTCTTTGATGCCCATCTTCCTCTTGAAATAGCTTGGTGCTGCCAGGAGCAGATGTGCCTCATTGCCATGAAAAGTCTTAAGTTGTTAAAACATTTTAAATGCCATATTCTGAAGGTCTCTGAAAGATTTGAAGAATACCTATCTGACTGAAATATATCTCTATACATCTAGAAAATCTAACTAACATGACTACAAGCTTGACTATTATAGATGAGTATATATTAACTTATATTTCTTTTTTATACATTTTTATTGATATTTATTGAGCTCTACATTTTTCTCTGCTCCCCTCCCTGCCTCTTCCCTCCCCCTTCAATTCTTCCCCAAGGTCCCCATGCTCCCAATTTACTCAGGAGATCTTGTCTTTTTCTACTTTTTACTTCCCATGTAGATTACATCTATGTATGTTTCTCTTAGTGTCCTCATTGTTGTCTAGGTTCTCTGGGATAGTGATTTGTGGGCTAGTTTTCTTTGCTTTATGTTTAAAAATCACCTATGAGTGAGTACATGTGATAATTGTCTTTCTGTGTCTGGGTTACCTCACTCGAAATAATGTTTTCTTGCTCCATCCATTTACCTGCAAAATTCAAGTTGTTGTTATTTTTTTCTTCTGTGTAGTACTCCATTGTGTAAATGTACCACATTTTCCTTATCCATTCTTCAATAGAGGGGCATTTAGGTTGTTTCCAGTTTCTGGCTATGACAAACAAAGCTGCTATGAACATAGTTGAGCACATGTCCTTGTGGCACTATTGAGCATCCTTTGGATATATACCCCAAAGTGGTATTACTGGGTCTTGAGGAAGGTTGTTTCCTAATTTTCTGAGAAATTGCCATACTGATATCCACAGAGGTTGTAGAAGCTTGCATTCCCACCAGCAATGTAGAAGTGTTCCCTTTTCCCCACAACCTCTCCAGCATAAGTTGTCATCAGTGTTTTTGATCTTGGCCATTCTTACAGGTGTAAGATGGAATCTCAGGGTTGTTTTGATTTGCATTTCTCTGATGACTAAGGATGCTGAACATTTCCTTAAGTGTCTTTCAGCCATTTTAGACTCCTCTGTTGAGAGTTCTCTGTTTAGGTTTGTACTCCATTTTTTTTTATTGGATTATGTGTTCTTTTGGTGTCCAATTTCTTGAGTTCTTTGTATATTTTGGAGATCAGCCCTCTCTCTGATGTGGGGTTAGTGAAGATCTTTTTTTTAATAATATTTATTTAGCTTTCTGACCTGTATTTGTGCCTTTAACAATGGTTTTCTACCTCTCTTTTTTTTAAGATTTATTTATTTATTATATAGACAGCATTCCTTCCATGTATGACCACATGCCAGAAGAGGACGCCAGATCTCATTACATATGGTTGTGAGCCACCATGTGGTTGCTGGGAATTGAACTCAGGACCTCTGGAAGAGCAGTCAGTGCTCTTAACCTCTGAGCCATCTCTCCAGCCCATTAGTGAAGATCTTTTCCCATTCTGTAGGCTGCTGTTTTGTCTTGTTGACTGTGTCCTTTGCTTTACAGAAGCTTTTCAGTTTCAGGAGGTCCCATTTATTAATTGTTCTTCTCAGTGTCTGTGCTCCAAATTGTACAAATATTAAAAGTCTTCCAAGTATGAAACAGGTGGAGATAAAACCAAAACTGGCATGGCGGCCATCATGCGGCTCAGGTTTGCTAGATTTTTGTCAAGCAGCTATGCTGGCTTCATGACTTTTGCCATTCCCATCAGATCTTAACTTATATTTCTTAATTATACATTATATTTCTTTAAAAAAATATTTATTTATTTATTATGTATACAATGTTCTGTCTGTGTGTATGCCTGTAGACCAGAAGAGGTCACCAGACCTCATTACAGATGGTTGTGAGCCACCATGTGGTTGCTGGGAATTGAACTTAGGACCTTTGGAAGAGCAGGCAATGCTCTTAACCTCTGAGCCATCTCTCCAGCCCTATACATTATATTTCTAAATGAGCTGGACAAACACAATACCTTAGTCAAGATCAGAAATATGCCAGGCGGGGCTGGAGAGATGGCTCAGTGGTTAAGAGCATTGCCTGCTCTTCCAAAGGTCCTGAGTTCAATTCCCAGCAACCACATGGTGGCTCACAACCATCTGTAATGAGGTCTGGTGACCTCTTCTGGCCTTCAGGCATACACGCAGAAAGAATATTGTATACATAATAAATAAATAAATAAATAAGAAATACGCCAGGCGGTGGTGGTGCACACCATTAATCCCAGCACTCACGAGGCAGATGCAGGTGGATCTCTGTGAGTTTGAGGCCAGCCTGGTCTACAGAGTGTGTTCCAGGACAGGCTCCAAAGCTACAGAGAAACCCTGTCTCAAAAAAACACAAAACAAAACAAAAAACCCAGAAATACGTATACATATAACAAAATTGACCTTAAATTTGTATCAATAAACCAAGATCCATACCAATGAAAATCTCTATAGCATATCCCCCTTTAAATGTAAGGAAGCATTAGCAAACAGTATTTGGGAATATGGGCATAGTTTTATCCAAACTTCTTCCTGCTGTTTATTGGGTGAAGTAATTTTGGGGGTGTTCATGGTGACCTCTCGGGGGGTCCAGATCTATCCAACCACATTAACCTGGAATGAATCCAGAGGTTCTCATTCTCTGTGAAAACAAAAGAAAAACCTCTTTTCCAAAACAACATATCCTTAGACCCAAATTTGCAAGTCATAATAACTTTATAATATTCATGCTTGTTTCAGTTAGCGGTCCATACAATGAAATGTCTCTCTGTACTTAGCTCTTTCACAGTCAAAAAATTCAAAGATAACACAATAATATACATAATCCAGACTCTGTGAATTTTCCATTTTTATGTGGCTTGTTTTTACTCTATTACTTTTTCTACAAGTTTAATATTTATTTTATTACCTTTACACCTTTAATCTATGACTATCTGGACTCTGTTTCTTTAAAGACTTTTTTTTTTTTAAATATTACCTTTTTTGTAACTCTCTATACTCATTTGATTCTCTCTTCCAAGCCTGCAAACATTTATCCAACACTGTGACACATTTAGGTTTTTTTTTTTTTACGTCTGATTCTGCCCTTATGAGTATCAGTAATTCTTTAATGTCCAAGAGTGCTTCTTAAAATACTAAGAGCCTCTTAAAGGCTTAAGCTGCGCCATTACTGGGGTATATACGGTACTTTCTGCTTGCCTTGCACAGCCCAGCATGGTGGAGCTGTTTGCTGCCTCTGAGAGCCATGTCCACAACCCCACTCTCAGGCACACAGCCAGTTCATGTCGCCATTCAGCAAGCAGCAGCAGTCTGCTCCCAAACCCCACTCAAAAGCTCTGTAGCCAGATCTCCTGCCTGAAAGAGTCAGAGTTCCCGCAGGCAGCATGGCCCAGAAATCTGGCATTTCAGAACTGCCACTTTCCTGCTGCCGCTGACTCAGGAAAACCTCTCTTCAAGGAGCTGCGGCACGCCACCAGCAAAATGCTGGCTGCAAGGAGCCCTGCTTAACTCTGTTCTTCTGTGTCTAAAATTACTTTTTAAGCTTTATCAGGTTTTAAGTGGATTTTAGTTTGCCACATTGGTGATGTGGGAGTCCCCTCTGTGTGCTGTGATAACCATTAATGAATAAAGAAACTGCTTTGGACCTATAGCAAGGTAGAACTTAGGTAGACAGGAAAGGCTAGGCTGAATGCTGGGAGAAAGAAAGGCAGAGTCAGAGATAGACCTTGAACCCCCTAGAGATGGATGCTGGAACTTTAGCTGGTAATACACAGATTAATGTGGCAATACACAGATTAATAGAAATGGATTAAATTCAGATGTAAGAGTTAGCCAATAAGAAGCTAGAGCTAATGGGCCAAGCAGTGATTTAATTAATACAGTTTCTGTGTGGTTATTTTGGGGCTGAGCAGCTGGGAACAAACAAGCAGCCTCTTCTTACATTTTCTATATCTTATACCGTTGTAACCTGTATTTACATTTTAAATCATTTTTGAGACCCTTAAAACTTTTGATCTTTTATATCCTCAGACCTTTATATATCTTAAAATACCTTTTTTTTTTAAATTAAGAGACCTAGTAGCTTTAGAGAAAGCAAGGCCTGATACATACATACATATATGTATATATATCTAACAAGTTGGCTATAGCTTTGTGGAAGGATTTGGATACCTGCTTTTGCTAAGCTGACAAAGTCATAGCTACCCTAGCCATTAGTACTATCAGACATCCCAGAAGGATAAATAAATTATATCTGAATACAGACCAAGCAGCTTCTGAATCTACTAAAAATAGCAGGGACCAGAGTTCATATGTTAGACCACAGTTAGCCATACACAGGTCTCCATAACATTGGAGGCAGAAGTATCTTAGCCAGGCCCATAAGGTGAATTTTTCTTTCCTGTGAAAGAGGGACATGGAAAAGTCTGACCTTATTTTGTCTAGGCAAAAGTTGTGCAATCAATTCTCCAATGTCCTGCTGTTTGCTCTCAGACTGGACCTGGTCTTGGCAACAGGTGTTGCACTGGGGCATCTCACCCAGTGGTCGGCATCATCATAATCCAGGTGGAGACCTCATGGTGTCCCATATTCTTCTCTGGAGACCTTGGGTCACTGCTAGGATCTGGAAGCCTCTGTCTGATAATAAGCTTTTTAATCATCATTTTAAATGCTATATTCTGCAGATCTCTGAAGTATGAGGGCTACCTAAGTATATCTGATTAGACAAATTTTGTTTCTAGTTACTTGTTTTTTTTTTAAAATATTTATTTTATTTTATTTATTTATTATGTATACAATATTCTGTCTGTGTGTATGCCTGCAGGCCAGAAGAGGGCACCAGACCTCATTACAGATGGTTGTGAGCCACCATGTGGTTGCTGGGAATTGAACTCAGGACCTTTGGAAGAGCAGGCAATGCTCTTAACCACTGAGCCATCTCTCCAGCCCCTCTAGTTACTTGTTTTAAGTTTGACTTTGAAAACATAGACAGGGGAGTGAATAAGGCTTGTCCCAGTAATTTATTATACCAGTACTTTAAGGATGACTGGCTATTATCTTGTATTTCCTAACAAAGTTAGCAGAGCTTTTATAAGACTAGAACTTTACATTTTGTCAGGTTTAGCCTTAAAAATAATGATTTTGAATTGAAGTTAATAAAGAAACTAAATTATTCATTCTGAGGGTAAAAAGAGAACAAGTTTGTGTCCAGCTGTTATGCTGTCTCCTGGGAAGGCAAGGAACAGGCCCCGGGTGAAATGGGAGCAGGGAGCCTAGGGGCAAGCATTGCCCTGACAAGTTCTAGGGCACCACAGCCAAGTGTTAATGCGGAGCCACCGAGCCACCGCCACCGGTTCCTTTGCCAGAGATAAGGCGGGCGCACCCTTTTTAGGGAGTAAGAACTTTCTCCAAGCAACCTGAGGGAATGGGAGCATTCTGAATGTCTGACCTTGGGAAAGGGACTTTGAAGTTTTATCCTTGGGGGGAGGAGGAATTTCCTCTTAGTATCATTGCAAAAATGACTCAGTTTATCCAAATAGGTTAAGCCCAACAAAGTTAGCAAAGCCAAGGAGGCTAAACATACATTTTTAAGCCTATATAGACCTTGAGCAAGGAAATGCATGCTTTAAACTGTTAGTTAATATTTTTTGGTTTGACCTATAATATAATTTCCCGTGATGTGATGATCCCCCCATTAGAAATTTTTTACCATTATTTTACAACTGCAGTTTTGCCGGTGTTAAGAATCTCAATTCAAGCATCTGACATGGAGGTGGTACTAGACTACTCCTGTACAACACCCCACGTGGTTACTCTCTCGTCATTGTGTCGGGGGCTCAGACTGACAGAGTGACAGAAGAAACTTTTAAATAAGCATGGGTCTATCAAAGGAAGAGCCATAATCCAACTCTAGAGCCAGATTTTCAATAAAGAACAGCATAAAACATTTTTAACATTTTATCAAAAAGTCATCTGAATTTCTACTAACTCAGATCCAGTAACCAGAGCTCAGAGATAAATTCTGAGGTCGAGCCCATAAATGTGGGTGGGAGACGACAAAAATATCCAAACCATTTCTGTCTCAGCTCCATGCTGCAACAAAACTACAGAGACAAACTTTTCAATAAAACAGGCATATATAATTTTCTTGAGAAACAGACAAAACCCTTTAATAAAACAAAACTTTTAAACCAGAATTAACCTAAAATGGTTAAATTTTTAACTTATATATTTTTTCATACCCTAACCAATAATAATTTGTAGCCAACCCCTCTAAATGATCACAGATGTTTATAACCCATTGGGTCTGAATGACCAAAGCAGCTCTGGTGGAGGGAAGTCTGGCTACAGAGTCACAGCACAGCCACCACAGTTTAACACCTATAGCCAGTGACTGTGACTCATTCAGCCTTGGCCAGGTTTGGCCAGAAGTCCAGGTGCACAGCACCCAAGGCAGGTCGAGGGAACCAATCCTCCAGCATGGGAGGGGGCAGGGTGACATGCAGCATGGGGGAAAAGATTGTTAACTTTTCCAGCTATAGCAATTGACCCCAGCTTCTCTTGTTCAGTGTTTGAAATCCTACTGGGGCACATTGGCCCCCTACAACTGTGGCTGGCGGCCTTGCTACATTGTAACAGCAGCCTGTGCTTATATCACAAACCTGTCAGCGTTGTACCTGCACTACAGGCCAGGGCTGGCTCCTTTCAGTGAAATATTTAAGGTGGGCAGAGGCTGTCTGTCTCATCCCTTTTAGGAAAATACACCCCTATGCTCACGACCCTATCTCTAAAGTCCTGGAAGTGATCCAACATCAAAGTCAAAGTAGTAGTGATTTGAGTCACATCAGTCTCGTAAGTCAGAAAGAGGATGCACAAAAGACAAAAACAAAACAGTACAGAGAACAAAACAGTCCTCCTGACGCCTGGAGGCAAAACTGTAAGGAAGACGACAGCCTCAAGCTGTTTTGCATGAGCATCTTCTGTGTCTTTCTACAGAAACCAGACAGATCAACTCATACAGAAGGGCCCTGGAGGCGTCTCCCCAGGTACCTACCTGTGATCTTTCTGCGTGTATACGTAGACCATCTACAGGTTCTCACAGATTCTGGGCCTATTTTGAAAGAGACACAAAAAGAAACGTATGCACCAGGGTTGCCGCTGGCAGAGGATGAGGAGGCAGTGAGGCGGACAGCAGCCCGAGAGGAGAGGAGCACAGTGCCACGGCCCGTGCCGGCCTGAGGAGCTCCCTCTGAAGCGTGGGAGGAGATGATGTGAGACGTGGATTTATGATATGAATTCATTTGAAAAGCCTCTTGGGGGTATGACTGTGATTTCTGATGAAACCAGGTTGGAATAATTTTCATGATATTTGTATATGTGTGCATATATGGGGTACTGTTGGATATGTTCCTGCTGCTGTACTTGAGTGAGTTCAACAGTGTGATGAGAAAAAGGAGAGAGGATTTCCTGCTGGGGATGGTCTAGAGCCAGGGCAGAATGAGAGGACTTCCTGCTGGGGATGGTCTAGAGCCAGGGCAGAAGGAGAGGACTTCCTGCTGGGGATAGTCTAGAGCCAGGGCAGAAGGAGAGGACTTCCTGCTGGAGATGTTCTAGAGCCAGGGAAGAAGGAGGAGGACTTCCTGCTGGGGATAGTCTAGAGCCAGGGCAGAAGGAGAGGACTTCCTGCTGGAGATGTTCTAGAGCCAGGGCAGAAGGAGAGGACTTCCTGCTGGGGATGTTCTAGAGCCAGGGCAGAAGGAGGAGGACTTCCTGCTGGAGATGTTCTAGAGCCAGGGAAGAAGGAGGAGGACTTCCTGCTGGGGATGGTCTAGAGCCAGGGCAGAAGGAGGGAGGACTTCCTGCTGGAGATGGTCTAGAGCCAGGGAAGAAGGAGGAGGACTTCCTGCTGGGGATGGTCTAGAGCCAGGGCAGAAGGAGGGAGGACTTCCTGCTGGAGATGGTCTAGAGCCAGGGAAGAAGGAGGAGGACTTCCTGCTGGGGATGGTCTAGAGCCAGGGCAGAAGGAGAGGACTTCCTGCTGGAGATGTTCTTGAGCCAGGGAAGAAGGAGGAGGACTTCCTGCTGGGGATGGTCTAGAGCCAGGGCAGAAGGAGGAGGACTTCCTGCTGGAGATGGTCTAGAGCCAGGGCAGAAGGAGAGGACTTCCTGCTGGAGATGTTCTAGAGCCATGGAAGAAGGAGGAGGACTTCCTGCTGGGGATGGTCTAGAGCCAGGGAAGAAGGAGGAGGACTTCCTGCTGGAGATGTTCTAGAGCCAGGGAAGAAGGAGGAGGACTTCCTGCTGGGGATGGTCTAGAGCCAGGGAAGAAGGAGGAGGACTTTCTGCTGGGGATGGTCTAGAGCCAGGGCAGAAGCCTCATGAAGGTCCTGGAGAAATGGGGAAATCAGTCATTCCTAAAGAGGATCAAGAAAAGATGAAAGAGATGTGTAAAATCAATCAGTTAATTTAATGGCAAGTGAGATGACTGCACCAAACAGATCTTTACCAGATGTGAGCTTAGAGGGGTACTTCTTCCACCTCCAGAGACAGCTATGGTTTTTTACCCCTTGTAGCCACAGAAGATATGTGTGTGTATTACATATGTGTATATGCATACATACATACACACACCTATATCTTCTCCATTATGGAAAAGAAGAGATTCTAGACCTCTATACAGCAGTACCAAATTGCATGCATAAAAGTTCTTTAAAAAGGAGCTGGAGAGATGTGACTCAGGAGTTAAGAGAGGGCACTGCGCTTCAGAGGACCCAAATATGACTCCATGCACCTGCAGTGAGCAGCTCACTGTCTGATGGAAGCATCACCTGAGATCCTGGCACCCATATACCCAAAGAGTTTGGGATGATTAGGCAGAAGCTCCATCCCCCTCTCTCCACCAGACTCTGCATCCTAAGAAAACCGGCCAAATAACAGCCCCTCCCCTCAGAAAGCCCATCAAGAGTTAGCCCTCTCCCCAAGGCTGCTCGAGACCATGTCTACTGGCTATTTAAGACCTGGCCCATAGATCTGCTGTGTGTGTCCTCCTTCCTGTTCTTCTTCTGCCTTCCCGAGGCCCACCTGGGAGCACTCTGCTTTGCATTGCCTTGTTTATTAGAGAGAGAGAGAGGGAGGGAGAGAGGGAGGGAGGGAGGAGAGAGAGAGAGAGAGAGAGAAACTGTATACACAAGAACACAGAAAACTTATCGGCTTACTGAAGGCTCCACAGGGCCGTGGTTCTGGTAGACTTGAGGATCCCAGAGAGCCCCTAAAATGTAATGCCCAGATCACAGAGTTCCCCCCCAAACCAACTAGGAGACCGAGTCCTGTATGTAAAAGCAAAGAGCCTTTATTCTTACACAAGTTTGCAAATTCGGACTCTCCGTGTGTCCAGCGTATTGGAGTGATCTGAGAGCCTGGAACTCAGTTAGGGTTGAGTTTTTATAGTAACAGAGGTAGGGGTGAGGGATTTCTAAGGCTCAGGACCCCTGATTGGCTGACATTTGTCTAGGGGTGTCCTGGTGAAAAGCGATGTCTGTGTGCTGGCAGATGATCCTATCTACAGTGGTTGGAACATTGGGAATTTCCTTTGGATGGTCTGTTCCTGTGTGGTGCAGGCTTAGGGCTTTTCCTGGAACCCGGTGCTGCCTGCTATGGCAGGTGTGCAGCCTGGGCCCCACATGACCTGAGCCCCCCATGTGTGGTCAGACTGCCCTGAGCCCCACATGGCCTGAGCCCCCATGTGTGGTCAGACTGCCCTGAGCCCCACATGGCCTGAGCCCCCATGTGTGGTCAGACTATCCTGAGCCCCACATGACCTGGGCCCCACGTGTGGTCAGGCTATCCTGAGCCCCACATGACCTGAGCCCCCCATGTGTGGTCAGGCTATCCTGAGCCCCACATGACCTGGGCCCCACGTGTGGTCAGGCTATCCTGAGCCCCACATGACCTGAGTCCCCCATGTGTGGTCAGACTGCCCTGAGCCCCACATGACCTGAGCCCCCATGTGTGGTCAGGCTATCCTGAGCCCCACATGACCTGAGCCCCCATGTGTGGTCAGGCTATCCTGAGCCCCACATGACCTGAGCCCCCATGTGTGGTCAGGCTGCCCTAAGCCCCACATGGCCTGAGCCCCCATGTGTGGTCCGGATGCCCTGGGCCTCACATGGCCTGAGCCCCCATGTGTGGTCAGGATGCCCTGGGCCTCATAGTTACTAATACAACAAGAGGCCCAGGGGTGCAGGAGTCGAGGGGCCGAGGCAGCTACTCAGCTCTGAAGCTTGTGCACAAAATCAATGAGAAAGCAGGTCACCGTGTGGTGGAGCAGACACCTACAGACTTTGAGGGGCCCTGGGAAGCTGGAGCTTGAGAAAGGAAGAGATGTCCTTCTGTCCTTAGAGTGGTGTGTTAGTTCGCTTTCTGCTGCTATGACATACAGCACGGCCAAACCTGGGGAGGAAAGAGTTTATTTCAGCTCATTATAGTCCATCATGAAGGAAGTCAGAGCAGGAACCTGGAGGCAGTGACTGAAGCAGAGACCACGGAGGAGTCCTGCCTGCTGGCTTGCTCTCGGTGGTTTGCTCTGCTTGCTTTCTCTACAATCCAGGAGCACCGGATTGGGGTGGCATTGCTCACAGTGGGGTTAATCAATAAAATGCCCCATAAACCTGCCTGCAGGCCATCTGATGGAAGCATGTTCTCAGTGGAGGAGGTATCCCGGGTAACCCCCCCACTCGTCCAGCTGACCACCACCGACAAACACTGACCAGCAGAGATGAGCACAGACAAGCCCAGTGGTGCCAAGGCAGAGCCTGCAGGTTAAAACACACGGTCTCCTTGGTCAGTCAGCAGTGGAGGGCAACAGATGGAGAAATGGAACCCTTAATACATTGCTACCACAGGGCCACATCTGAACTGGCAGTGCCACCCCAGACAGGTGCCCAAGGGAACAAAACAGGAACCACAAGGACTTTGTGAGTCAGGACACCATCGTCCATCACAGTCGGGGGATGGGAGTAACCCACACGTGCTAGTGGGGTGGTAGGCCACACATGGCCTTCCCACACCGCAGACCGTTGACAGCCACAGCGAGCGTGGCAGTTGGTGGCCAGTGCTACGTGGGTCCACAGACTAACCTCATGGCTAAGCAAGTCACAGAGACAAAAGCAGCTTCGTTGACTGTGGCATCAGGGTGGGAGATGAGCCTGTGTCTAGCCAGCTCTGAGCACACACTGGATGCTGACAAGGGTGGGTTCCGAGGTATGTAAATTATTTTTCAGTGAAATGGTTACCAGAAAATGGCCAAAAATACTAGTCCAGCTAGTACTGTAGAGTCTCAGGAACAGGAAGTAACACTGCCCATCCCTTGAGCTCTGGCCCAGAAACAGGTGTTGCATGCGACTGTTTCTGGCAGGTGCAGGGCCACCTAGGCCTAGGGAAGAAGGAACTCCAGGCAGCTTGAATCTGTGTTAGCACAGTGAGAGAATACAGTGTTGATGGGTACTGTGGCCAGTCTCTTCTTGCAGAAGAGATTACATGGAACAGTGAAGCCACGCCCGCACCTGACCCTATGCCTGGTCTCTGCCGCCCTAGGGCAGAGTTCTCGTCCCTCCCCCGTACTCTCCTGACCCACCAGCAGCTGGCATGTAGTGGAAGCACCCATTCCTTGTGGACTGGGCATGATGGGAAGATGTGAGAAATACAGCCATCAGCGGTGTTGATGTAGTCTAGGACCACAGGGGCCACCTGAAACCATGACAGTGCACAGCCCTATAGACGTTTTTCCATTTCCACAAATTCCCACAGAGCTCATAAATCAGGTTCAGTAAAAACAACTCAAGCAAAGTAGCTGAGCCAGTACTGGGGTAAAAGCTGCGGGGATGGATGTGAGCTCCCCGAGCTCAGCATACCCTGTGGCATGTCTAATAACACCTCTCTGGCATGTCACACCTCCATGATCACTGTCCCGGCCCGCCCTCTAGAGCCCTTAGGACCTGAGTAAGGATTCCCTGAGAGTAGCACTGCAGCTCTCTTCAGAGGAGTCTGCTCTCAGGAGTGGATTCTCTCCTGCCACCTAATGGTGTGCAGCCACCGCCCTCAGGACATCAGGCCTGCCTGGAAGGGTCTACCGGCTGAGTCACCTACTGGCCCGAGCACTGTGGTTCTAACAATGGCTGGGTAACAGCTAAGTAACAAAAGCTTGCAAAACTTCCAGCTTGATATGCTGGACCAAGGACGACTCATGAGGTGGGGGTGTCAAAAGAGCCCATCATCCTCAGTTTAAAACCTAAAGCATATAGATTGTTTATTTCTGGAATGTTCCATTTAATATTTCCAAACCACGCTTGATCCTGTTAAGTAATTAAAACTCTAGAAGGTCAAACTATGAATAAGGAAAAGCTACTGTATCACATTTAATTTTCATACACCCCCTGAGGTAGCTGTTAGGACCACAGAAATGGCTGTGATCAGGTAAGAGATGGTTTTAACCAGCTGTCTTCAGTGGTCAAGCCTAGTCAGGAGACAAAAAGATTCAGAGAGGTAGGGTACAGTACGCCCCATCCGCCCCATCACACTGCTAATTAAGGGTGGGGCTGGCCTCAGAAGCAGACAGGAACACTCCTGGAGGGGCTGTGCTCAAACTCCTGACTCCTGTCTTCTCTTACAGCTTTCCCAGGACTCAAGGCCACTTGTCCACCCCTCTCCACCTTCTACTTCCTTTTTGTGATCTTTGTGCTGTCCACCATCTTCTACTGCCACCGGCGCCTGGCTCTGGTGCCTGACCCCTGGGCCTCTTCAGCCCTTGTGGTCTTAGCCCCAAGAAACCTGCCCCAGGAGGGCATGTTCACCATCAATGCCAAAGGCCGCCTGGGGAACCAGATGGGCGAGTACGCCACCCTGTTCGCACTGGCCAGGATGAACGGAAAGCCCGCATTCATCCCCGCATCTATGCACAGCACCCTGGCGCCCATCTTCAGGATCAGCCTCCCGGTGCTGCACAGCGACACCGACAAGAAGATCCCATGGCACAACTACCACCTCAACGACTGGATGGAGGAGCGGTACCGCCACATCCCGGGACGCTATGTGCGCCTCACAGGGTACCCATGCTCCTGGACCTTCTACCACCACCTGCGCTCAGAGATCCTGCAGGAGTTCACCCTGCACGACCACGTGCGTGAGGAGGCCCAGGCCTTCCTGCGTGGCCTGCGGGTGAATGGGGTCCAGCCGAGTACGTTTGTGGGTGTCCATGTGCGCCGGGGGGACTATGTGCATGTCATGCCCAACGTTTGGAAGGGCGTGGTGGCTGACCGGGGTTACTTGGAACAGGCCCTGGACAGGTTCCGGGCACGCTATCGGTCTCCCATCTTTGTAGTCACCAGTGATGACATGGCCTGGTGCCGGAAGAGCATCAGTGTCTCCCGAGGGGATGTGTCGTTTGCTGGCAATGGCCTTCAGGGGTCCCCTGCCAGGGACATTGCACTGCTCATGCAATGCAACCACACTGTCATCACCGTGGGCACCTTTGGAATCTGGGCCGCCTATCTCACAGGTGGGGATACTGTTTACCTGGCTAACTTTACTCAGCCCAACTCCCCCTTCCACATTGTTTTCAAGCCACAAGCAGCCTACCTCCCCAACTGGGTAGGCATCGCTGCTGACCTGCCACAGGCCCAGCAGAGGAACCTTTAGTGGTGCCTCAACCTGGGCCCCCCAAGAGGCATTGGAGGCTGTTTTGTACCTACTCAGGTTGCCACGTGCAGTTCCAGCCCAGCCTTCTGTGTTTCTCAGTTTAGAGATTTGGGTCAGTGATGTCACCTCGCTGCCCTCCTGTGCTCCCTGAGTATGTGAGCTGCAGTCTCGAGTTACCTCAGCAGCGACAGGCACAGGTGACTGTTCCGCTGTGTCCACTGCAGGCCTAGCATGCTGCGTCTGGAAGTCTGGAATGCTTTCACCCGGAGGGCAGTGTCTTAGCTAGGGTTTCTGTGGCTGTGATGAGACACCAGGGCAGTAAACAGTCTGCAGAGGAAGGTGCCTATTTAAACTCATACTTCACAGTCCATCACTGAGGGCAGTCAGAGCAAGAACTCAACCGGCAGGACCCCGGGGCGGGAGCTGATGCAGAGGCCATGGAGGAATGCCACTACCTGCTTGCTCCTCATGGCTGAGCCCTCTGCCTTGGCTGACCCAGGACCGCCTGCCTGCACCGGCAGATCTGGTGGGAGTGGCTTTCCTGCTGATCCTCTCTCTTCAGAGAGCCTCAGCTCCTGTCAAGCTGACGTAAAGCTAGCCGGCAGAGCCAGCTTTGCGCTGTCCTTCCCGGTCACCCACCAGCATGTAGGGTCCTGGGGGCTGTTTGGTGGTGGTGCGGCTCCTGCCCAGGAGTTATGGGGCATGGCGCTTCCAGCCGGCATGACCTCATCAGGAAAGGGAAGTTGGAGGGGCAGGCCTGATGCAGGTGCCGGGTGGACAGCTGTGCGGATATTCAGTCACACTGAACTCCAGGCTGTGTTTGTGTTTGCGTTAACTAAATAAAATCAACCTTGGTTCAGGGGTGGAGTCAGCTCGTAGGCTGGAGCTGGCCACGGAGTCCAGAGTCCAGAGGAGCCAGAATGTGGAGAGAGATGCACAGGGAGGAGGGCTGGACTGGAGTTTCTTGCTTGCTTTTTGTTTGGGAATGAACGGAGAGACATGTCTCTTGCTGGGAAAAGAGGCCAAAAAGGAAGGTCAGCTGCTTGCTTCTCAGCCTCTCAGATCCAGCAGGTTTTCACCCCTACATCTGACTTCTGGTCTTTGTTGGTAAATAGACCTAGTTCAAACCTGTGTATCTCTCCAGTCTGAGTGGCCTGCAGGGCTCTGACTGCAGGGCTGTGGGCCACAGATGATAATTAAAACAGCAGTAGATTCGTGTGCAGTCACTAAGCCTACAGACAACCCCTCTGGTAGTGGGAAGAATCATGAAAGGGCACCCTGAGCAGCGGGGCCCAGGAGGAGCAGCAGGCGCTCCAAGGCACAGCTCTCCAGGAAGCCTGACCCTGGCCAGCCACAGCCCTGTCCTGCTGGAGCCTGGGCTTGAGGCTGCTCAGTGAGGCCTGTTGGGGCTGCCTGGTCTCTGTCTGCTTTCTGTTGCTGTCACCAAGTCTCTGCCTCATGCTGGTACACTAGGGCTGGGGCAAAGCAGAGCCCCAGACTCTTGTAATGCCACCACCTCACTGAGTTCTGTCTCCTCAGCCTAACCTGTGGCTTCTCTACAGTCATCTCCAGGGGGCTCGGCACACCCGAAAACATGGAGGTACTAGAATTTTTAATTCTCCTTTGCTTGCTCACACACACACACACACACACACACATGTTTTTTGTTTTGTTTTGTTTTGTTTTTTTCACAGAGTTTCTCTCTGTAGCCTTGGCTGTCCTGGAACTCACTCTGTAGACTTCAAACTGGCTTTGAACTCACAGAGATGCACCTGCCTCAGCCTCCTGAGTGCTGGGATAAAAGGCGGCACCACACCCAGCTGAAAGAGTCTTACCCTGTGGCACTGGCTGATCTTGAACTCAAGGTAATCCTCCTGCCTCAGCCTTCTGAGTGCCAGGATTGTAGTCAAGTGCTAACACACCCAGTTTCCACATGTCCTTGTAGAGACTCTAGTCGAGCTGGGTCAGAAAGACACACCACACCCTAGCACACACACACCCTAGAATACACACCCCAGCACATACACACCCCAGCACACACCACACCCCAGCCTTCCCCTAATCAGATTGCTTATCCTCCTCTTCTCAGAACCGCCCTGCCAGCTCCTTGCTCCCAGAGACTTCTGTGAGAACCTCCCAGCAGGCTGCAGGGGGCCCTTGGGGAAGCGCAGCTGTGTTTCCCACTGACCTGCACCCTCATGTTTAAGCTCTTCCCCTGAGACCACCTCCCTAGTGTTCTCTGTATCCACAGCCTATGGCTTCCTGTTGTCTTGAGAGGATTGAGTCCAGTTCAGAACTGGAGAGAGTGAACTTTTAGCATTTATCTTGACAGGGACAGTGGAGCTGTTCTTAGCCTCAGCCATGCTACTTTTCCCATGAGCTAGCTGTCCTGGGAAAATCACCTCATGTTCCTCACAGAGAGACTATATCAAAAAAGAAAGGGGGGTGGGGAGGAAGGAGGTAAGGGGCCAGAGGGGGAAGGAAGAAGAGGGAGGGAAAAGAGAGGGAAGGGGCAATAAATCCTGGTTGACCTTGCCCTCACTTCCTCGCCAGCACAAAGGTGTGGACACAGGACATTCTCAGCACACTTGCCTGCAGCACAAAGCCTCCAAGCCACCACAGCCCCTGGCTGGCAACCTGGTCACTTCCCTGCCCTGGTCTTTCGCATCAGGCCTGATGAGGGACAGATGTTGAGGTCTTTAGGAAACAAGTAGGTGGCCATGGGAGCCATGTGAAGGGCGCCCTACCCAGCTCCGTATTTGCTTGGCCTTGCTTGAACAGAGATACAAACAGCTTTTACTTTACAAAGCCCAAGCAGGGGCTGGTTGTCTGCCAACGGCAATAAGGGCCACATTCATCCAGCAAATATTTACCTGGCTCTTAAGTGGGTTGAAGACGCCCTAGTTCCTCAGCAGGGGAGAGGAAGGAAGCCAAATGAACCTACTCTGCCTAAGCTCAAGAGGGCCCAGCCCAGTGTCCACTCTTCCAACTCCTGTGATGAGACAATTTTCCTAGAAAACTGTCCCTGCAGCTGGGACTGGTGAAGAGCAGGTGATCCTCGGCCATCAGAACCACTGACTCCAGAGGCAGAGACCAACTTCTGAAAGGAAGCAGTTCTGCTTCCTGTTCTGCAGGCCTGAGTGCCCAGTTCACCTTACATCCCATCACACACTCGACCTCACCAGTGAATGATATGCATGCCAAGCGAGAGCCTCTTGTGCCCTGGCTGATGGCTACATGGAGAGTCTGCCATGGGCTTAGCTCTCAGAAGCCTTGACTTCCACCCTCAGCAACATACACCACACACACTAAAAGTTAACTTCCTGTTGGCCTTGGCTGAGCCCTGTCTTCAGTGATATCAAGTGATATGAGGGAATATTGGTGTGAGTCAGGCAGGGATGTGACCCTCGCTGTGCCAGAAGTGGTCAAAGCTTGGTAGGTTCTGCCAAGAAGACCCAAGAACTTTTGCTTATGTGACCTCAACTTCTGTGCCCATGGAGAGGTGGATTTGAGCTTTCTGAAATTGTTGCCAGGTGGTGGTGGTGGTGCACATCTTTAATCCTAGCACCCAGGTGACAGAGGCAGGGGGATCATTGTGAGTTCAAGACCAGTCTACAGAGAGATTTCCAGGACAGCTAGGGCTACACCATGAAACCCGAGAGAGGGGGCTGGAGAGATGGCTCAGAGGTTAAGAGCACTGACTGCTCTTCCAGAGGTCCTGAGTTCAATTCCCAGCAACCACATGGTGGCTCACAACCATCTGTAATGAGATCTGGTGCCCTCTTCTGGTCTGCAGCATATATGTAGGGAAAACGCTGTATACATAATAAATAAATCTTTAAAAAAGATAAAAAGAAAAGAGAGAGAGAGAGGAAGAAGAAGAAGAAATTGCTGTCTATCTGTTATTGCATCTGAGATAAACCTCATCCAGGTGGAGCCCTACCTGCTGGCTCATTCCAGGTGTTGAGCTCAATCAGACAAGGCTCTCCGTCCCTTCATCCTGCTGGAAGAGCAAAGGTTGTGATCCGACCCTGTGATCCACGTGTTCCAGAGTTACACTGTTAGTGCAGTGCTCTGCAGAGCCCAGCCAGGCTCTGCCTCTTGCTGTGTGTCCCACTGCACCCTTGTTAGCTTCGCGCTTCTGGAGCTGCGACTGCGCCCTGAGCGTGGGACCGGCCTAGGTAGAGGCACAAATGAAGTGATGTCCCGTAGAGATTCATAGAGATAGAAGGGGGCTGAGAAGAGATGGGGGAGGAGTTGCTCCATGGGCACACAAATTTTACAAGACAAGGTAGTTATGGAGGGCTGGCTGGACCAACAGTGTGAACACCACTCCGAGCAAACTGCACTCTTAGAAAACGACCCAGGAAACCAGACCTGGTGAAACATGGCTGCAATCTAAAATTGGTCAACAGAAGCAGGAGGATGGCCAAGAGTTCAAGGACTAAAAAGTGAGACCCTTGAGCCAGTGAGGTAGCTCAGTGGGAAAAGGTACTGACAACCTGAACTTAATCCCCGGGGCCTGTATGACAACGGGAGGCAACCGAGTCCCATATGACCTCTGACCTCCACTCAATACCACCTGATGCACATGCTCCCCTCCTTCCCACACACACAAAGGAGTGAGACTGCACTTGTCTCTTCATAACACCAGCAAAGCATACTGGTGGACGGAGCGCAATGCCCACACCACACAGGGAAGTCTTCCAACCCCTGGATTTGCAGCTGGGTGTTTTGTTTTCTTTCTCCTTCTCCTCCTCTTCCTTTTCTTTCTCCCCCAGCCCCGGTTCCCCAGCTCCTGTTCCCCAAGCTCCTGTTCCCCCAGCCCCGGTTCCCCAGCTCCTGTTCCCCCAGCCCCCGTTCCCTCAGCCCCTGTTCCCCCAGCCCCTGTTCCCCCAGCCCCTGTTTCCCCAGCTCCCGTTCCCCCAGCCCCCGTTCCCCCAGCACCTGTGTTCCCCCAGCTCCTGTTCCCCCAGCCCCGGTTCCCCAGCTCCTGTTCCCCCAGCCCCCGTTCCCCCAGCACCTGTGTTCCCCCAGCTCCTGTTCCCCCAGCCCCGGTTCCCAGCCCCTGTTCCCCAGCTCCTGTTCCTCCAGTTCCTGTTCCCCAGCTCCTGTTCCTCCAGTTCCTGTTCCCCTAGACCCTGTTCTACCAGTACCCTGTACCTGACTATCCATACTCCTCCTCGTCCTCGTCCTCATTCTCCTCATTCTCCTCCTCCTCCTTCTTCTCCTCTCCTTTCTTCCTTCTCCTCCTCCTCCTTCTCCTCCTCTCCCTCCTTCTCCTCCTCTCCCTTCCTCCTTCTCCTCCTCCTCCTTCTCCTCCTTCTCTTCTCCCTTCCTCCTCCTCCTCCTTCTCCTCCTCTCCCTCCTTCTCCTCCTCCTTCTCCTCCTCCTTCTCCTCCTTCTTCTCCTCTCCCTCCTCCTCCTCCTCCTCCTCCTCCTCCTCCTCCTCCTCCTTATCCTCCTTCTCCTCCTCTCCCTTCCTCCTTCTCCTCCCCCTCCTCCTTCTCCTCTCTCTCCTCCTCCTCTTCCTCCTTTATTTTCAGGCAGGCCTCAAACTCACAGCACTCCTGCCTCAGCCTCCTGGCTGGGATTTGCAGACAAAGCCATAGAGCCTGGCTGTCTATGTGGCTTTTGAAAAGTAGGTATGTGGGGGGAGGGGGAGATAACACACCTTTGGATCCCGGAGCTCAGAGTCAGCTTTGCACACTTGCTAAACACCTGGCTTTTTTTTTCTTCTCTCCATGGCATGAATGGATAGGAAAAATGGCCTTTTGTGTTTCAACTGCCCCACATTCTGGACTTGGCAGATGTTCTGGTGTCTACTCACAGCAACCTCATCCTTCTGTTGTCCCAAACCGAGGAGTGGGAGAAGAAAGGTAGCTTTGATGGGGACCTTTTATACCCGAGTTTTGTTTGTTTTCGATATGGTGGATTGAGCCCAATCTGGCATCCTAGACAGGCACAGTACCGTGCCATGCCCACATCCTTACTGGCGGATCCCAGGCACATGTTCTGCCACCTGAGCCAGGCTGCTGCCCTTTGCTTGACTTTTTATTTTATTATTATATTGTTTGTTTATTTATTTATTTAATTATTTTTCAAGACAGGGTTTCTCTGTAGCTTTGGAGCCTGTCCTGGAACTCCCTCTGTAGACCAGGCTGGCCTCGAACTCACAGAGATCCTCCTGTCTCTGCCTCCCGGGTGCTGGAATTAAAAGCGTGCACCACCACAGCCCAGCTGTGTTTATTCTTTAGTGTGTATGAATACTCGTGTGCATGTTCCTGTGTGTGCGCAGGCACATGTGGATACCACAAGTTAACATTTAGTGTCTTTTTCAGTTGCTGACTGTGCTGCTTAGTGTCATTGTCAGCCTGGCATAAGTTCAGAGTCATTTGGGAAGATGGAAGCTCAGTTGAGAGAATGTCCCACCAGATTAGCGTGGGCAGCTTGTAGTGCATTTTCTTTTTTTTAATATTTGTTTATTTATTATGTATATAATATTCTGTCTGTGTGTATGCCTGCAGGCCAGAAGAGGGCACCAGACCCTGTTACAGATGGTTGTGAGCCACCATGTGGTTGCTGGGAATTGAACTCAGGTCCTCGGAAGATCAGGCAATGCTCTTAACCTCTGAGCCATCTCTCCAGCCCCCTGTAGTGCATTTTCTTAGAGATTGATGTGGAATGGCCATGCTGGCTATTCTTGGTTGTCAACTCGACTATGTCTGGAATGGACTACATTCCAGAAATGGAGGGCGCACTTCCGATCTGGAAGAGGCAAGAAGTCAACACTCAGCCTCCTGGGACTGAGCAGCTACTAGATTCACAACTAGCCTTGTTGGACTGTAGCCTGTAACCCATTCTTGTGTGTGTGTGTGTGTGTGTGTGTGTGTGTGTGTGTAGAGAGAGAGAGAGATTGATTCATTCCATAAGTTCTGTGACTGTAACAGAACCCCGACTGATACAATGGCCCAGACCCCTGGGGGTGGTGATGCTTCTTGCCAGCTGATCTTGGATGATGTAAGAAAGCAGACTGAGTAATTCTGTCTCCAAACAAATAAACAGTAACTGAAACAAAGCGGAGCTGAGAAGAGTTGCTGTTTGTATCGCGTCGTTCTCCAAGCCCCAGCTTGCCTGGCTTCGCGTGGCTGTGTGACTCTGGGCAAGTTAACTTCTCTCTCTGGTGGCTGTGTGACTCTGGGCAAGTTAACTTCTCTCTCTGGTGGCTGTGTGACTCTGGGCAAGTTAACTTCTCTCTCTGGTGGCTGCGTGACTCTGGGCAAGTTAACTTCTCTCTCTGGTGGCTGTGTGACTCTGGGCAAGTTAACTTCTCTCTGGTGGCTGTGTGACTCTGGGCAAGTTAACTCCTCTCTCTGTACTTGGTTTCTCCTGTGCAAATAGAGCTCTTCAGAGGGCCTGCTATTAGGGCCAAGGTTGATGGTGCAGGCCTTTAATCTTAGCACTCAGGAAGCAGAGACAGGTAGATCTCTGAGTTCAAGGCCAGCAAGGGCAACACAAGTTCCAGGCAATCCAGGGCTACATAGTGAGACCCTGTCTCAAAACCAAACAAAGCGTGTCAGCCACAGGGGCTAAAAGTGTGGTGCACGAGGCCCTGGTTCAATTTCGTACGCACCAAAAACAGGGAAAACCCCAAAACCTTGTGTGCTGTTGGCTCTCAAGATAGGTCATTTGATAAAGTGCTCTCTAGGACAGCATTGAGGACTAGAGTTCAGTCCTGCACACATGCAGACAAATGGAGGAGGGCAGCCAGTGAGAGGGCTCCGCAGGTCCAAGCGCTCACGGCTCAAGCCAGAAGACCCCACATAGAAAGCCTGATGCCGGCCATTCCACTGTTGACTTGGGGGTCTGCAGTGCTGCAGGGGAAGGCAGGTACGCTAAACTCTCCCAACTCCTCTAACTGCCCCTCCTGCTGGCATCCTGCAGGCACCTGAGACAAAGCCAACTTCTCCTCTGGAAGCTTAGTCACACTGGTTCTAGGATGTCAGCTGGTCCACCCTGGGCGGGGTTTCTATCCAGGCCTATAGGAAGGCTCAGGAAACTCTGGCCCTGAAAGAAGGGGCAGGCTGGAAGGAACACTGAGCTACCTGCCTGCAGAGCCACCTCGTCATCCATTTGGAGGTCTTCTCTGTAACCACAGCCAGAAAAGGTGAGCACAGACCAGGGGGTTGGGGACAGGTTTCCCGTTCCCTCAACAAACCCTAGGGATCCAGAAAATGGACCGATTGGTCTCCGACCCACCCTAGGGCTCTCTGGGAGGAGAGGCCATTACTGGCAAACAGGATCCAGAACCTGGCTCTTCCAGACTCTGGATTCCCAGCCTGAGTTCCAGCTAGTTCCTTCAGCCCGAGCCCTCAGATCCTGAGTTCCAGCTTAGTTCCTTCAGCCCCCGAGCCCTCAGATCCTGAGTTCCAGCTAGTTCCTTCAGCCCCCGAGCCCTCAGATCCTGAGTTCCAGCTAGTTCCTTCAGCCCTCGAGCCCTCAGATCCTGAGTTCCAGCTAGTTCCTTCAGCCCCTGAGCCCTCAGATCCTGAGTTCCAGCTAGTTCCTTCAGCCCGAGCCCTCCAGATCCTGAATTCCAGCTAGTTCCTTCAGCCCCTGAGCCCTCAGATCCTGAGTTCCAGCTAGTTCCTTCAGCCCGAGCCCTCCAGATCCTGAGTTCCAGCTAGTTCCTTCAGCCCCTGAGCCCTCAGATCCTGAGTTCCAGCTAGTTCCTTCAGCCCCTGAGCCCTCCAGATCCTGAGTTCCCAGACCTTGGTTTTTCCAAACCCTAGGTCCCCCGGCCCCTGGTCCCCCAGCTCCTGGTTCCCCAGCTCCTCTTCCCCGGCTTCTGTACCCCCAGTTCCTGGTCCCCCGGTCCCTGGTCCCTGGTCCCCCAGCCCTTGGTCCCCAGCTTCTGTTCTACCAGCATCTGTACCCCCAGTTCCTTTTCCCCCGGTTCCTGTACCCCCAGTTCCTGGTCCAGCGGCCCCTGTTCCTCTAGATCCTGTTCCCCAGTTCCTGTTCTTCCAGATCCTGGTTCCCCAGCTCCTGTTCCCCCAGTTCCTGGTCCACCGGCCCCTATTCCCCCAGTTCCTGGTCCACCGGCCCCTATTCCCCCAGATCCTGTTCCCCAGCTCCTGGTTCCCTAGCTCCTGTTCTCCCAGCTCCTGTTCTCCCAGCTCCTGTTCTTCCAGCTCCTGTTCCCCCAGCTCCTGGTTCCCCAGCTTCTGTTCTTCCAGCCCCTATTCCCCTAGTTCCTGTTCCCCAGACCTTGTTCTCCCGGCTCTGGTTCCCCAGACCTCTCCACCAGTACCCCATTCCCTGACTTCCCGTACTCCCATGTTCGTTGGTTTCTCTCTTCACCTGCTCAGGTCCCTCCCTGCCGCTGACTCCAGGAACAATGTAGATGGAAGGCAGAGCTGGGCTCAGAGCAACCGGATTTTCCTGTTCCCATACCCATGGCTTCCACATCAGCCTAGGGAACCCTCAGAAACCTGTGGGTGCCCCCTGCCATGGGGGGACAGTAGGTCCCAGCTCAGTCCATCACAACACTCTGTGCCTGCTTGAGATTTCAGTTTGGCAGTTCTTTCATAAGATCCCCTGAGACCCTGAGAATCACAATGCCCTCGTTCTATGCAAGGGACCGAGCAGGCAGAGGGCAGTGCCAGCCACAGGAATGGCACTGATGGGGTGGGGCCAGGCATGAGGTCCTGCCTGTGGGGTGATGTGGAAGGTGTTGCGGGCAGGGCACTTTCTGGATGGAAAAGGTTGACCCAAAGGGGAGAGGAGAGGAAAGTGGAACAGCTTGTGTTTGTCATACTAGTACTCAAGAAACTGAGGCAGGGGGATTGCTGTAAGTCAGGTGTCAGCTTGGACGACACTGAAAATCCCTGATGAGGAAAGGAGTGAGGGAGAGAGGAAAGGAAGGTTTCCAGGGAACTGGAGAAGGATTGGAACCTCTCTGCCATACTGCACCCCTCTAACGGAAGGTCCTCAGGAGGCCTAGATGGAGGAAGGGAAAACCTGAACTCAACTTTTCTTCGTTAAACCCAGTGGCCCCCAGAGGTGTTGAAACAGTTGCAGAAACTGCGGCTGGGCTAGTGATAAACTTCCTGACCATGGAGAACAGAGGGGAAGTCTCCACTGCCACAGCCGCTCCGCTCCGGCTGGAGCCACAGCAGCTCTTTAGTCTCCTGTGGCCCCAGCACGCTCCCAGGTCCCCTCGCGGCCTTGGTCTTCTCACACTCATCCACGCTCCTCTCTTATCTTTTGGCCCATGGGTGCTATAAGTCTCAGCTCCATGATTTGTGATCCCTGAGCAGCTCTGGGGGGGTCTACCAGCAGGTAATCCCTCAGCCAACCAAATGCTGTCTGAAGCAGACAGGTGAAGGCCACGTAGCTTTGGCCACCACCCACATCTATTCCGCAAAGCTAGATAGAGACTTTACGGCAGGCTCCATGCTGCCCTTGTCCCCTGCAGCCTCCACACCCTCGCGTCCCTTCCTTAGGAATGGGAACCAGCACAGACACAGCGAACACGAACACGTTATTCCAAAACATCTTCCTCTCCTTTTTCTGACGAGCCAGTCAGGTTGTGTTCCTGTTTGCAGCAGGAGATGCAGAGCCCTCCGGTGGAAACTGGAGACAATAGTTTTGTTTTGAAGTGTGTTTTCCCATTACTTTCCCCCCATATGGTTGGTGCCAGGCCTGGCATCCCAGATGCTACAAAGGCCGAAAAGAAAGGGCAGAAGTTCAGAGCCAGGCTGGGTAATGGCATGAATTCAGGCTGGGCAGCTTAGTGAGACTGTCTCAAGAGAGTTCAAACTGCGGGTGCGGCTGCTCCAAGGTGTGGTGACGGGGAAGGTTTTTATTGTACACATGAAAGAGAGAATAGCCAGAGGCATCTGGAAGCGGCCAAACTGAACGGGTCCATGAGGGGAGTGGGCGGCAAAGAGTGAGAGAGGAAGAAAGAAGAGAGGGGGAGAGGAGAGGGCAAATGGATGAAGAGAGGTCCAGGAGTGACGTTGACTAGTTATGCAAGAGTCAGAGAAGCTGGGGAAGAGAATGCAGCTCAGGGGCTGGAGTGGTTGGGGAGGGCAGGGCGTGCCCATCAGAATGACTCTGTGGTGGCCAGCATCCGTTGTGATATGTGAAAAGGCTTCCATCCAGCTGGCCGTTCCTCCCAGGCTACAGACCTGCCACCAGTGGTGCCACTTACTCCAGGTAACCCGGGCACAGCAGCTAAGTAGAGAACTCCGTGATGCCCATTGGACAGTATGTGAGTCGAGAACCAAGAGTCATTGCTTTGCACATCTTCAGGACTGCTGGAGGCCTGGAGAGACTCCGCCTTGATCCTCCCTGCGGCTGCTCCCTCCAGGATCCCGGCCCTAGAACCGTGAGAGGCTAGACCTAACCTTTCGGCTAAGATACGGCACAGTGGTGAGCAGCCTTAGGGAGAGAGGCTTAGTGCTGTAGCTAGGAATTCAGAGTGGGGATTTTGTGTGAAGGGTGTCAGCATAAAGGGTAGCGTTTGTTAGACCAGCTGTGCACACTACCTTCTTGTTCACAAGGACCGAGAAAGCTATGGCTGAAATGGCAGAGTTAGTGGGGAATGAGAAGGTGGGGAAGGAAAACACGAGCTGGAGTCTAGGTTAAGAGGCTGGCTGAGGAGAGCTGACAGGGGCCGCGGGTGCTGAGTGAGCCTGGAACCATAGATGCCATTTGTCCCTTCTGACAGCGATGAGAAAGGTTCCGTGAGCAGAGGGGAAAGGAGCACCGGAATTTAGGGCCGTGGAGTTTCCTTTGGACCTGGCAACAAGCAAAAGTAAAAAAGGCCGGAAGAGTTGATTCAGTCTACTGTGGTGTCCCTGGCCTGTAACCTCGGCACTCGGGGCTGAGGAGCGTTAGTTAGTCTGGGCCATGGAATGAATTCAGTGCCGGTCCAAGCAACTTAGTAAGACGATCTCCAAGTTAAAACAGCAAGGCTGGGGGTGTAACTCAGGGGTAGAGCTCCTGCCTAGCGTCCCCCAGTGAGGCACTTGGGATGTAACTCGGGGGTAGAGCCCCTCCCTGCCTAGAGTCCCCCAGTGAGGCGGGGGTGTAACTCGGGGGTAGAGCCCTGCCTAGTGAGGCACTGGGCATGTGGCTCTCTGGTAGAGCAATTGCTAGGCATGCTGGCTGGTCACCCTGATTTCCATTTCTAGTACCACAGAAGGAAAAAGAACTTAGGAGGCAGAGACAGGCAGATCTCTGTGAGTACAAGGCCAACCTAGTCCAAAGAGTGAATTTCAGGATAGCCAGGGCTACATAGGGAACTCTATCTCAATGCCTCCCCCACCCAAAAGCAAACCAAAGCTCCCAGCAACCCTGCTGCCTCTGCCTCCTGAGCACGGAGGTGATGGACAAGCATCATCCCTCCTTGCCAGAGTTTCTTCTGGAGAATTACAACCAGGAGCGTTTTGGCTGCAGTCCTGTGCCAGCAGTCGGAGGTGCCTTTGTAACTGCGCACCTGCGCGAATGTAAAGCTCGGCCTCTTTACAAGCCGCTTGAGTCGATGCCAACATCCTCTTGACTGAGTCACTGGGCCAAAGCCTGTGGTCAGGATTGGAGGCCTCGGGCCAAGACAGCTGGAAATCTTTGTTTCTTCCCTGGAGTTGTACAAAGTCTCCTTTGGAGGCTTATGGCAGGCGCACTCCGTGTTGCAAACCGCACATCCTCTGAGATGTGGTGGTAAGACTTCTGAAGAACTTGGGGAGCCTTGAAGCTCTTGCACCTCCAAAATGTTCATCCCTGTCCTCAGGCCTGGGTCTCAGTGACTGGACACTGATTTAACTGGCACTAGTGTGAGTGTCCGCCACACCCTGGCTGCAGATGACAGAGGCCGCCATCCTCAACGGTTCTCCACCTGTGGGTCGCAACCCCTGTGGGAGTCAAACAACCCTTCCACAGGGGTTGCCTAAGACCAGCCAACAAACACAAATATTTACATTGTTTTTTTTAAAATATTTATTTATTCATTATGTATACAACTTTCTGTCTGTGTGTATGTCTGCAGGCCAGAAGGCACCAGACCTCATTACAGATGGTTGTGAGCCACCATGTGGTTGCTGGGAATTGAACTCAGGACCTTTGGAAGAGCAGGCAATGCTCTTAACCGCTGAGCCATCTCTCCAGTCCCAAATATTTACATTGTTATGATACATAATAGTAGCAAAATTAGTTATAAAGTAGCAACGAAAATAATTTTATAGTTGGGGGGGGTCACCACAAGGTGAGGAACTGTATTAAAGGGTTTCCTGCCTCTGAAGTGCTGAGATTGAAGGTGTGTCAGTGGGCATATTTTGCTGTTTTGGATTTATATGTGCGTGTGTGTGTGTGCGCATGTGTGTGCGCGTGTGTGCGTGTGTGTGCACACGTGTGTGCGTGCGTGCGTGTGCACCTCTGTTTGTGCAGTTCCTGCAGAGGCCAGTAGAGAACATCTGATCTCCTTGAGTTGGAATTACAGAGCTATGAGCTCCCTAATATGGGTGCTGGGAATTGAACTCCAGTCCTCTGCAAGAGCAGCAAGTGCATTTAAGCTCAGAGTCATCTAGTGACGCCCCTGTTTCTTTTGTTCTTGTTTTGTTTGTTTCTCTATAGCCCTGGCTGTCTGGGAACTCACTCTGTGGACCAAGCTGGCCTCTGCCTCTCCGGTTCTGGAATTAAATATGTGCACCCATCATACCTGGCTTTCTATTTGTTTAATTTTTTATTACATTTCTTTATTTGTAATTGTGAGGGAGGTGTTTGTTCTCTGTTCGTTTCCTCCTTCTACCACATGGGTCCTAGGGACCCAGTTCAGGTTGGGAGGCTGGCAGGGGTCACCTTTACCAACTTACCTATCTTGCGGCAATGCCATGGCCCCTTTTCTGTTTCACATTTGCACAGATTCAGTATCTGCAGCCTTTGGTTTGTCCCACAAGGCCCTAATTCACAAGCATTCTCTCTCCTGTTAAGCTACACCTTCAGTCTCTGACATGAATTCTAGGCACATGCTTCACTCTGGAGCTACATCCTTAGTCTCTGATTGGTGGATTCTAGATGCGCGCTCACTCTGGAGCTGCATCCTAACACTCTGATTGGTGGATTCTAGACACATGCTCACTCTGGAGCCGCATCCTCAGACTCTGACTGGTGGATTCTAGATACATGCTCATTTTGGAGCTGCATCCTCAGGCCTCTTTACTCTTACTTTGAGATAAGAACTCACTCATTACCCAGGCCTTTAACTAGCACCCTCTGGCTTCAGCCGTCCCAGTAGCTGGGATGCCAGGCTGCACCACTCTGCCAAGCGGAATCAACATCTCTATGGAACAGCAGAGGCTCCTGGGATAGAGCAGAGGATTCTCCCGGAGAGTCTCAGGTGATGTCGGGAAAGGAATGAGGGCCTACCCACAGTCATATGCATTCAGGCTTAAGCCCAGTGCACTGTTCCTTAGCCTAAAGCATCTACATAGGAGAGAAACATTCACTAATTACGGGCAACATTCTCAGAACATGCTAATTGTGCTGAAATTCTGAGACTGTGAAGCTTTGGACTCTGAAATGAGGGGACCCTTCCCCTTCCCATGTCCCTATAATATCCCTGATTTTGCTGGTATCTTTCTTTTTTTCATCTTGCCTCATTTGAACACTTGACACACACTCTCCCTCCAAAGAGGACTTTATATTGGCTCACTCTGTATGCCAGCGGTGGAGCAGGGCCACACACACAGTTCTTGGCTAGCCTGAGCTATAGCACGAAATCGTGTCTCTAACAAACCAAAAAGAAAACCAGGATGCACGCTGAGGCACAATCAAGGAGATAAACTGAATGAATGCCAAGTATTTATGCACACAGTGCCCACAATCACATCCTCCAGCTGCTCCCCAGCTAACCTGCCTGCTTTCCTTCCTGGCAGCCATGGTCAGCTCCCAGGTTCCTTTCTACTTTCCTCTGGCCCACTTCCTCATCTTTGTCTTCGTGACTTCCACCATCGTCCACCTCCAGCACAGAATTGTGAAGATTCAGTCCCCACCAGAGAAGCCCGCAGGAGAGCCAGCAGCCACAACAGTGCCAGGGAGCAGCCAGCCGCAGGGCATGTTCACCATCAATTCCATAGGCCGCCTGGGGAACCAGATGGGCGAGTACGCCACCCTGTTCGCACTGGCCAGGATGAACGGAAAGCCCGCATTCATCCCCGCATCCATGCACAGCACCCTGGCGCCCATCTTCAGGATCAGCCTCCCGGTGCTGCACAGCGACACCGACAAGAAGATCCCATGGCACAACTACCACCTCAACGACTGGATGGAGGAGCGGTACCGCCACATCCCGGGACGCTATGTGCGCCTCACAGGGTACCCGTGCTCCTGGACCTTCTACCACCACCTGCGCTCAGAGATCCTGCAGGAGTTCACCCTGCACGACCACGTGCGTGAGGAGGCCCAGGCCTTCCTGCGTGGCCTGCGGGTGAATGGGGTCCAGCCGAGTACGTTTGTGGGTGTCCATGTGCGCCGGGGGGACTATGTGCATGTCATGCCCAACGTTTGGAAGGGCGTGGTGGCTGACCGGGGTTACTTGGAACAGGCCCTGGACAGGTTCCGGGCACGCTATCGGTCTCCCATCTTTGTAGTCACCAGCAATGGCATGGCCTGGTGCAAGCAGAACATCGATGCCTCCCGAGGGGATGTGGTATTTGCTGGCAATGGTATTGAGGGTTCGCCAGCCAAGGACTTCGCACTCCTCACCCAGTGTAACCACACCATCATGACTATTGGGACCTTCGGGATTTGGGCTGCCTACCTGGCAGGTGGTGACACCATCTACCTAGCCAACTATACCCTTCCAGATTCTCCCTTCCTCAAAATTTTTAAGCCAGAGGCCGCCTTCCTACCTGAGTGGGTCGGCATCCCGGCAGACCTGTCCCCACTCCTTAAGCACTAACACAAGCCTGTCCTTGCTCCCGCTTCCATCTCTAAACAGGAGGAGCTACGTGTTGTGCTCTCAGGGGAAGAGCCTTCTCTCTGGACGAAGCGTGTCTTGGGTGGGCACCACCAGTTCCAGCATCCATTGACTAAACAGCTCAGACCCATTGGCAGGGACTACAGTGCCCGCTAACTGCCAGTGGTGCCAACTAACCGCTAGCAGTGCCATTACTGTGTTTTAGCGCAACTGTCTCAGGATGCAGGAAGGGTTGGCACATGGAGACCGTCACTTCTGGAGGCAGCAAGAGAAGGCCATTACCTCACCTTGGGTTCCTTCTGAAGTGAGACCAGTCCACACTTGTCTACTTTTTGTTACTAATAATGAAGTCCCTGAAGCTGGATTATTTATAAAGGTACAGTGAGTAGCTCATGGCAGTGGCAGTTCCGTGGTGGGACAGCGCGCCACTGTCAACAGTCACGTGGGAAGCGTGAGCAAGGAGGAGGAGTGGGCTTGCTCTTCTTATAGCAACCCAAGAACTAACTGGAGTCTACTGCTCACCCATTGAAGGGAGCCTTCAATGTCCTAAGGCCTTCCCGAGATCTGTTCAAATTGTATTTTTATTTCAGTTATGGGTATATGTGTGGGTGTGTGCGCGTGGGTGTGTGCGCGTGGGTGTGTGCGCGTGGGTGTGTGCGCGCGTGAGTGCGGTGCCTTCAGAAGCTAGAACTGGGTGTCGGATCCCCTGGGGCTGGAGCTACAGGCAGCTGGACCAGATGCTGAGAATTTCTCTCTGAACCTCTCTCCACAGCCCTTAACTCTACCTCACAAAGGTCCCAGCATCACCACTGTGAGGACCAAAGTCAAGTCCAATGGAAACCACCTCTGTAAGCACTCCAGCAGCTAACTGCCATGTCCCCTTGACAAGAATGGTGTCACTGTGCCCATGTGTCTCATTATGAGTCAAGGAGAAAGAGAATATGGGACTGGTTTAGCCTGGGATCCAAAGTCATGATCAGAAAGGAGAGGCCACCATAAGCCCACAGCATCCACCACGTTGCTTGTCCATCTGAGAACTCTGTGGGTGGGGCTCAGCTAAGGCACACGCCCACTCTGTGGCCCTAGCTTCTGGGAGACCTGTGTGTGCTACCATCTTGTCACACTTCAGGTGTGCGCACACACCATGATGTCCGTCTGACAATTAAAGAACACAACCTATGTAGCTGCCATTGTGAAAACAGCCAGAGTGATCTGGGGGAAGAGCCCTTGAAGCTTTTGGGGACAGCAGGAACCCCAAGGTGTCTCTCCAAACCCACTGCTAAACTGGTGCCGACATTGCGCATGGGAAGTGGCCTGGAGTGGGCAGTGGTGGCGCCTCTCCTTCGTCCTGGCACCAGGAGGATCTGAGGTTTGGAGGCCAGCCTGGTCTATTTTCTGAGGCCCTGTCTTCAAAAAGAAAATCCTCTATCTGAGCGTGGCGGTGCACACCTGTGACCCCAGTGTTAAGGAAGTGCGTACAGGAAGGTCAGGAGTTCAGAGCATCAGCTGCATGGGGGCCCAGGCCAGAGACAATGAGAACCCGGCTGGGCAGTGGTGGCACACACTTTTAGTCACAGCGCTCAGGCAGAGGTAGGTGGATCTCTGAGTTTGAGGCCAGCCTGGGCTACACAGAGAAACCCTATCTCAAAAAAACAAAACAAAGAAAACTGCAAAATCCAAAAGAAACAGAAACGTGCCTCCCCACAATCATATGGGGTTTGTTGGTTGGCTGGGTTTTTTTTATTTTTTTATTTTTTATTTTTATTTTTCGAGACAGGGTTTCTCTGTAGCTTTGGTGCCCGTCCCGGAACTAGCTCTTGTAGACCAGGCTGGTCTCGAACTCCCAGAGATCCGCCTGCCTCTGCCTCCCGAGTGCTGGGATTAAAGGCGTGAGCCACCACCGCCCGGCCTTTGTTTTTGTTTTTTGAGACAGGATCTCTATATAGCCCCGGCTGTACTGGAACTCACTATGTAGATCAGGCAGGACTTGAGCTCCACTGTGACAGGCAGAGGCAGGTTATCATGCCCAGCTCATTTCACATTCCTGAAAGGGATGAAATGGGCTTGAGCCATCGCTCCAGCCAGATGGGTGGGGCACAGGTGGAGCAACCTTTCATCCCAGGAAGCAGAAGCAGGCACGTGGACCTCTGTGAGTCCAGGCCAGCCGGGGCTAGGTAGAGACCCTGTCTCAAAATCAAAAGACAAACAGTGGGGCTGGAGAGATGGCTCAGCGGTTAAGAGCATTGCCTGCTCTTCCAAAGGTCCTGAGTTCAATTCCCAGCAACCACATGGTGGCTCACAACCATCTGTAATGAGGTCTGGTGCCCTCTTCTGGCCTGCAGACAAACACACAGAATATTGTATACTAAATAAATAAATATCAACAACAAAAAATTTTTTTTTAAAAAAAAAAGACAAACAGTGAAACAGAACGAACTACCACAGAGGTAGAGGAACTGCGCATGTGGAACACAATCAGCTTGGTCCTATCCATGGATGGACGGATCATTGGGGTGTGGATTCTACCTCCAAACACCTCAAGACAGAGCAGCTCTCTGTCCACTGGTTGACAGTCACATGGTTGTGTGACTAGAACCACATTTAAGATAAAAGACTATAAAAAAAAAAGATAAAAGGCTATGTGTGGTACATCTAATTTGAACGCTCTGGAAGCTGAAGCCTCACAAGGTTCAGTTTGAGCACAGCCTGGGCTACACTGGGAGATGCTGTCTCCTGGGAAGGAGGGGGAGGAGGAGGAGGAGGAGGAGGAGAAGGAAATGGAAGGAAACAAGATACCCTGTCCTCTAGGAAGATCAGGGACAGGGAGGCCCGGGGAGGGACTGAAGTAGGTGACACTGGGTCACAGTGATGAGGAGTGTTGATCTCAGCCAGGACCCACCCTAATCCTGCCCTAGCCTTCCAAATCTCCACCTTCCAGAGAATTCTGTAGTCATCCAACCCCACCTTGCTTGGGGCTCTGCAGGGCTGTGCCATGCTCTCCACCCAAGGATGACTGACTGAGGAGACATGGTGACAGCGGGCAGGAGACAGGAGGGATACTTGGTTGGAAATTGATGTCCTGGAGCCCAAGGCACCAGGGACAAGGGAATGGGTTACCCAGCAGACAGAGGGTAGCTGTGGCTGGGGAAGGAAAGGTGGGGAGAAGGGGGTGCTTCCTTTGCTGGAGGGTGGCTCGGAGTCAGAGAAGAGGACAGGTGGAGACTAAATGGGGGCTGAGGGCATGGCACAGAAAAGGACCTGAGCAGCCAGAGTTAGCCACAGACTGGCACGGAAATGAGTGCGTCAGATGCTGTCTCACAAAGCAAGAGCAAGGAAGGGGTCTGGAGAGACCTGGAGAGAGGGCTTGGCCATAGCAGGTGGCCCACAACTCCAGCTTCAGGGGAGTGACAGGTTCCTCGGGCTTCCAAGAACCTGAGCATGTTATAGTGTACATATACACAATAAAAATGTAAAAATACAAGGAACAAGAAGGAAAGCGTCTAGGGCCAGAAGAGGAAGCTCGTTACACCGCCTTGACCCTCCAGGGCTGAGAACTCGGCTGTCGGCTTTCAGCTTATCACAGGGCGCTCGAAGGCCAGCTCTGGCCATCTCCAGCCAGGGCCGGCCACAGACTTTCTCTTTACTCCCAGCACTCAACCTCACAGCAGCTTCTCCACACCTGGGCCCTTCACATCCCTCTTCCAGATGCTGTCTTCCAGGAAGTCCTCTTACTAGCGTCCCCTAACCCTTGGAGGTTCAGCTATTTTTCTGACCCCTGTTCCACCACCCAGGAAACCGTGGTCAATCACAACTCCATGATCCCACACGCCATAGCCACCAAAATGCCAGTCTGCTCTGGGAGTGCAATCACTGAGCTTTATGAAGTATAAAAAAAGCACAGGCTCTCACTGCCAGGCCCAAAAGACAGGCAGTCATCCACGTCTGGTGTCTGGTGGTCTCAAGTGTTCAGCTCCTCTCTCTCTCTCTCTCTCTCTCTCTCCCTCCCTCCCTCCCTCCCTCTCCCCCCCCCCCTCTCTCTCTCTCCCTCCCTCTCTCCTCTCTCTCTCTCTCTCTCTCTCTCTCTCTCTCTCTGACACAGAGTCTCATGTAGCCCAGGCTGGTCTTGAACTCTCTATAGTTGAACTTCTGATCTTGGGCTTCTGCTTCTCCTGCCTCAGCTCTTCATGTCCCTGAGTGCTAACTCCTGAACTCCAAGCTGAACATTTGTTCTTGGAAGTCCTGGGCTGCCACACAGGAAGTCTAGGGACCCAGTTGAGAGAGCATGTGGGGAAGAGCGCTGAGGTCTCGTGGAGAACAAGAAGGGTTCAGACATCCAGCTGGGCTCAGCCCTCTCCCCATCTCCACCACTGTGCCAACATGTCTGAATGAGCCATATTGAATGTCTTCACCCATCTGGGCATCGGGATGGCAACATTCCACTCTAACCCCTTGTGGAGCTGAGTGACTGCCCCGCAGAGCCCAGTGCACCATAGCCACCTGTTGTTAGGTTAGGAGTTGTTAATAAGCCCAAACACAGAAGCAAAGGCTCAGTCTCACCAGCTTAAACTCAAGGAGACCCGCAGTTTAATTCACCAGGCAGACGTCCTCAGGGCTGAGGTGAACCCGAGGTCACATTCTAGCTCCTCTTTGGCCACCTGGCTCCTGGAAGCCCTTCAACAAACCATGAGAGCTGGGTATGGTGGCTCACATCTCTAATCTCAGGGGTCAGAAGGTTAAAGCAGGAGGATTGTCACAAGTTAGAGGCCAGTCTGTACTACCATAGCAAGACTTTCTCTCAAAAAAACAACAACAAAAAAAAAAACCCCAAGAAAGCTAGGTATAGTCACAACACTCATAGGTTCAAGGTCATAGGGAGTTCACAGTCACCTCCCACTAGGAGATTCTGATTCCCTCACCTCTATCTAGAACTCAGGGGTCTGCCTTCTTCTACTCCCCTGCCCCATCCTTTCCTGAATCCAAACAGCACAAACTTTCACCTCCCCAGATGACAGGCAGCCACCAGCATCTGGAGGAAGTGACACACACACCCTGCAGGGCTCTGAAGAAGCAGGAAGCTTGTTTGCACTGGGCAGTAGCAAAGGAATTCCCACCCTTAACTGCACAGATGGGGGTGGGGGGTGGGGTGTCACACAGAGGCCAGGTAGGCAGGTCCAGGCATTTGACAAATCAGCAGCAGTGGGCCAGGAGGGGATAAGGGCATTTTAAGTCTTGAGTGCTCTGTAGTTGGAGGGTCTTTGTGGGGGCAGATGACCTCTCCTGGGAAACCCCAAGGTCCTTCTCATGCATCTGGAAGCAGTTCCCAAAGACGGTTGCCACTGGGGTCAGATAAGTCCGCAGAGAAGATGCTGGGCCCTGGAGGCCCAGAGTCCAGCGGTGGACCGCCACTCAAGGCCTCCAGCCAGTCCAAGGAATCTGTAAGTGCCTTTGGAGAAGGGGACAGGGAGCTTGTGGGGGATGGGAGTGAAGAAGAAAAAACGGAAGAGAAGCCATCCGAGTCCGGGGAGGGAGACAGCACGTCAAACGAGCCCGGGAAGTCCAAGGGGATGGGAGGCAGCAGGTCTGCAAGAGGAGGGTGAGTTTAGGGGGGCACTGTTCCCAGCCCACTCCTCCCTTGGGCCCAGGAATTCCCAAGTTCAGCTCCTCCCCTAAATTCGGGAACTCTGCTCCTACCATCTGGCTCCACTTGGTCTTCCAGGATGTCATCGATGTCCCGATTCGGAAGCAGCTGTGGATGAGCACACGCTCTGTGACCCTGGGTCCTGCTTAGGTACACAGCCCAGTCCCTGAGCACGCCCCAGCCTCGCATCCCCTTCCACCTGAGCCCTATGGATCGCTTCCTGCAGCTCCTCCTCCAGAGTCAGGCTGGCTGGAGAAGATGTTGGAAAGGGAGTTGGAAGAGCCGGAGCCGAAGCTGGAGCGGGCGCCTGAACCGGCGCGGGAGCCGGAGCTGGAGCAGCGCCCAGGGGATCCGCAACTTCAGAAAACGGCAGCCTATGAGTCGTTGCACTTGTCTTTACCTAGAACCAGGAAAGGTGGGAGTTCCCTAAATCCGGTACATCGGGCGTGGCTCTGCCCGCCCTAACACAATCAATCCTTCCTTAGTTTCACCCCAATACTTTGTATTTTTTTTTAACATTTTTATGTGTGTGTGCATGTATGTGTACAATCAGCGGGAACTTTCAGAGCTGGTTCATAGCTCCCACCTTATGGGTCTCGGGGATAGAATTCAAAAAGTCAAGCTTGGCAGCAAACACTCTTACTCCCTAAAGCGGCTTTCAGGCTCCGCTCCTATCCTTTCAGTGGCTTCTCTCCCTTAAACCACGCCCACCAGGTTCTAACTACAGCCTCCGAGCAACCAGTGGTTGGCCACGCTCCCAAACGTAGCGGCTCGCTTGTTAGGTTCCGTCCCCAGCCGCGAGGTGGTGGCACACACTCTCGGGGGCAGAGGCAGGTGGATCTCTGTGAGTTCGAGTGAGTTCCAGGACCGCCAGGGCTACATAGAGAAACCCTGTCTAGAAAAGCAAACAAAAACAAAAACAAAAACAAAAAAAGACCCGCTCCCAAGTGTAAGTCACGCCTCCTTGCCAACACGTCATTGGCTGCTCTTTTCCAAGGTCTCGCCCTATTCCTCTTTCTCTTCTCTTGATTGGTGCGCACACAGCCCCGCCCTCACCGTGCCGGGCCGCCGGGTACGTCCCAGAGCCTTAGGCCTAAGACGCGGCCAGGGAGCCGCAGCCTCTTTGTCCTCACGCCGGGGCTTCTGCCGTTCTCTGGGCGGGGCGCCACCGCGCATGCGCTCCAGGAGCATCGACTTGGTCCCGGAGACTGGGAGTCCCCGTAGGCGCAGCTGCTGCCGAAGCTCTGAGACCTAAGGGGCGGGGACAGGGAGAGGAGGTGCTGGGCGGGCTCTGGGGTACAATAACTAGGAAACTAAGAGGAGCCAGAATCCTGACCGACTGCCCTAAGGCACGGGCCATGGGTCTGTGAGGTCTGGGTCCAGCCCTGAGGAAGAGATGACACTGGGACCCTGGGACACTGCATACTAAACCCACCGTCAGCTCTTCCAATTTAAGGGTCTGAAGTTCCAGCTTGTGTGAAGGGGGTGAGGGCCTGGAGTTTCCTGGTGAGGAGGGCTTCATCCTAGCGACCGGCGTGAGAGGGTGAGGAAAGATTAGGGCAGATGGAAAAATGTATTTAGGGACCTTAAAACCTGGGGCTTCGGAGGCTGCAGGAAAATGAGGAATTCTGGGTCTCCTGTGGAGCAAACACAGGGCTGGGTTTGTGGGTGTGGGAGCTGTGCACCGGGATGTCTCCAGAGCAGGGCTGGGAGCTTGCACAGCTGGGGGCTCAGGGGGAGAGGGTTTCAGGGCAGGCTCCTCTCCCTTGCACTTTGGGTTTGAGGGAGGAGGATGGGGTCTGAGTTTCTGGGCCCCTGGAGAATAAAACTGAAAGTCGTACCGAGGGTGTGGCCTCTGTGAGTTTTTCTCCTCCCACAGTGATGGCCCTGGGGGTCCCAGGGTTGAGCCCTCTGCTTGGAGATCTTCCCTAGGCCCTTGTCTTCGTTCTGGAGGCATGTACAGGTGATATGTCAAATTCCCCCTGACCTTGGGCTCCTTCCAGTGTTGGGAGTTCTTGGAAGATTCCTGAAAGAGCAAGTCAGGCCAGGTTTGGTGGTTTGGTGGCCCACCATCCCTGTCATCCCAGCATCAGGAAGGCCGGGGAAGGATGAAGAGTTCAAAGCCAGTCATGGCATATAGTGAGCTTGTCCCAAAAACAAAGAGAAAAGCAGGGATGATGCTTCAGCTTGGTCCACCTTCCGGGCCCCTGAAATGTGTAGTGTCAGCTTAGCCACGCCCCAAAGACAGTGTCGTGCCTAGGAGAATCACGGCTAGACTGTCGTGGGCACTCGCCTTAGGAGAATCAAGGCTACACTGTCGTGGGCACTCGCCTTAGGAGAATCACGGCTACACTGTCATGGGCATTCACCCTAGGAGAATCACGGCTACACTGTCGTGGGCAATCACCTTAGGAGAATCACGGCTACACTGTCGTGGGCACTCGCCTTAGGAGAATCACGGCTACACTGTCATGGGCATTCACCCTAGGAGAATCACGGCTACACTGTCGTGGGCACTCGCCTTAGGAGAATCACGGCTACACTGTCGTGGGCATTCACCCTAGGAGAATCACGGCTACACTGTCGTGGGCACTCGCCTTAGGAGAATCACGGCTACACTGTCATGGGCATTCACCCTAGGAGAATCACGGCTACACTGTCGTGGGCACTCACCTTAGGAGAATCACGGCTACACTGTCGTGGGCATTCACCCTAGGAGAATCATGGCTACACTGTCATGGGCATTCACCCTAGGAGAATCACGGCTACACTGTCGTGGGCACTCGCCTTAGGAGAATCACGGCTACACTGTCGTGGGCATTCACCCTAGGAGAATCACGGCTACACTGTCGTGGGCATTCACCCTAGGAGAATCACGGCTACACTGTCGTGGGCATTCACCCTAGGAGAATCATGGCTACACTGTCGTGGGCATTCACCCTAGGAGAATCACGGCTACACTGTCTTGGGCACTCGCCTTAGGAGAATCACGGCTACACTGTCGTGGGCATTCACCCTAGGAGAATCACGGCTACACTGTCGTGGGCATTCACCCTAGGAGAATCACGGCTACACTGTCGTGGGCATTCACCCTAGGAGAATCACGGCTACACTGTCGTGGGCATTCACCCTAGGAGAATCACGGCTACACTGTCGTGGGCACTCGCCTTAGGAGAATCACGGCTACACTGTCGTGGGCATTCACCCTAGGAGAATCACGGCTACACTGTCGTGGGCACTCGCCTTAGGAGAATCACGGCTACACTGTCGTGGGCATTCACCCTAGGAGAATCACGGCTACACTGTCGTGGGCATTCACCCTGGCTAGACTATCATGGGCACTCGCCCTCCACTGTCCAAACTCACCTTCTTTGGAGACCTCCAAGGACAATATGCTGGTTCAGGGGAAAAGACGCCAGGGCTGACAACGAAAGAAGCGGGAGCAGGGGGCAAAGCCGGAGCCAGAGCTGGGCCTGAGGCTGAGATCCATGGATCTGAATCAGAGGCTGAAAAGATAGTGGAGGACCCTGACTGGACCAGCAGACTGCAGGCCAGTTAGGATGGAGAGGGCCAGCCTAGAGCAAGAAGCCTAGCCCAAGTTGTCCAGCTGGGTTCCTGGACGCCTGAGGACCCAGATTTCCACATTTTCGAGAAGGGAAGAGAGTTTTGTCCTCAGCAGGAGGTCTGTTTGCTTTGGATCACAGCAATCTAGAAGTGTGTTCCTGGGACAGAACCAGGTGATGCCTGTACCCCGTGATTCCAAGGAAATGAACAAGCCAAAAAACTATATTCAGACGATTGAGTGTGGGAGAGGCTGGGATACCTAACACCACCAAGAAAGATTAGGGCATCTGGGGTGGGAAAATTGGGGAGAACTCAAGGGGTGGGGTGGCCCAGCTGACTCCAGAGTTCTCAGAAAGTGACAGACAGGGATTTCACTGTTTGGGGGCAGGCATGGTCCTTGGGTACTGAGGCCACCATCCCTTCCCTTTGGGGGCCCCCACTTACTACAGTCTTGATTCCGTCTGTGGATCCGAAGCTGCAGGACTGTGTGGAAGGAAGCGAGAGGTGGGACAAGGAAGGCAGGAAGGGAGTGTCCAGAGCCTGGCTTGGCTGATGGGTGGGAGCTACAGTTGTTGGCGGACACACGTGCCCAGCCCCTTCACACTCTCAGGGCGGGTGGGCGGGCAGCCTGTTCCCTCTCCCTTCCCAGGGCCTCTTGCTTGCTCCTGCCAGCAAAGCATCTTGGGTCAGAGCCACTCCTGAGGCTGTAAGCCAGCCAGCCTGCAACCAGGAGGTAGCCATGCTCCTGGCTCCACCTGCCACTTCAGGAGTCTGTGCCCACCCTGGTACAGTCGTCATCTTGCCAGGCTGACCCACCAACACCTCACTTCCTTTCATCCATGCACCCCTTTCTGTGTTGCCCTGGCATTCCACACGGCCAGCACCCCGCAAACCTACCCCCGAAACTCAAATCTCCCTGGACTCTAGCTTTGCACAGATGCTGCTTTCATGATTTTCCACCCTGGCTTCCTCTTCGCTGGCATGTATCCACACGAATGCTACTCACTCAAGCCTTGACCCTCTGTTTTGGAGCAAAGATTACCCAGTGCACATGTCTGCCTCTCTCTGAGTGTTCAGAGCTGTTTGGTTTGGCCACAGATCATGACTAATAACACTTTCAAGGCTTGATACTCTTGGTCCCCAGCCACGCATCCACGACACTCGGGTCGGTTTAAGTCCTTTGCAGCACATGCAGCCTTGGGTGTCCCCACCTGCGGCTTAGCGGGCCATGTGCTCGCCCACTTTACTCCATAACATGCATAACCTTGTGAGCTTCATGGGTCCCTCCAGCCACCCAAGGGGAGTGTCGCCGGGACCCTGGGCCCTGGATTCAGGACCCCTCCCCACATGCTCTTAGACAAGCAACCTCTCACCAGAGCGGAACTTGGAACGGATGATTTGGGAGCGCTGGGAGGAGGCTGCCAGGGTCATTGCCAAAGCTGGGGTGGAAACCTGGACAAAGAGGAAGGCAGGGCCGCCGGACAGCAGGGTCAGAGTGGATGGCAGAAGGTTGCCGTTCGGGGGGAAATGTGGGAGACAATAACTGATTCAAGACAGAAGTGAGTACTGAGCAAACTTCTGGGCAGGGTAGGGTCTTCCATACCCAGGTCTAGGAAAGGACAACTAGGCCCTGAGCCTCTGAAAGGAGGGCTGGGACCCAGACCCATGGTGTGAGAGACCAGGGCTAGGGTTTGGACCCCTAGGACAGAAGGTGGAGTACTAAGGCCTGGAGTTCTGGGCTTGAGGGAGTTCTTGCTCATGGACTACTGTGTCTGAAGAGGGGGCCTGGAGCCCTGAGTCTGAAGCAAGAGGGCTGGGGTCTCAGCTCCTGGACCTTGGTGGTAGAGGAAGGAAGAGTCATGGACTCCTGCATCCTAAGGAGAGCATTGGAATCTGGACCTCTGGGTCTTTGAGAGTGCAGGAAGCAGTCGTCTGGACTCTGAATCCTGAAGGAAAAGGAGGTTAAGGACTAGAACTCCATGCTCTTAGGGACAAAATCCAAGATTCTGGGTCAACAGGGAATCAGAGAGGCTAACGGGTGTCTGGACAATGCAGGGGTTCCTGCAACAGACACCTAAAACAGAATGGGTTCAATGTCATGCACCAGGCTCCGTGGAAAAGGTATTCGGAGCAAAAAGGGGAACCAAAACGGTGAATGAAGGGTAATAAGGAGGGTCCCTATCTCCACCCCAGGGGCTTCTCACCAGGTGGGCTCCGCTCAGCTACTCAGCTGTGCCTTGAAGCGGGTGGAGTCTCCCGGACGGGCCTGGAGACCTCAGGCTCCGCCCACCAGCCTAGGGCCGCCCTCGACTCCCCTTCTGGGGCAAGTGAGAGGGTGGGGAGCAGGCCTTGGATGAGAAACCCTGTTAGGACCCGGAGAAGGGGCGGACACACACGTGGGGAGGACCAGGGCGGGCTCACATTCGAGGGTCCCCCTACTGTCTCCTCCCCCGCATCCTGGGCTGTTGGGTTGGGTGGGGCGGCCACAGGCGACAGACAGGAGCAGGTGCAGGGAGAGGGACCCGGCTGAGCAACAGCAACAGGTGGTCGCGTTCAGACCCCTCAGGCAGGTGCCACCTGTTGGGTTTTTTTTTTCTTTTCCTGACGCAGCAATAGGAATCAAATTCAGAGGAGGGGAAAGTTCAAACATGAGGCCCAGACCCCTGGTTCTAAGGAAGGAAAGGACAGGAGTCAGAGAGAAGGGCTGGTCCCTGGGTAAGGAGGAGGGCTGAGGTCTGCATTCTTGCATCTGATGGAAGAGGACTAGGACCCAAGGGCCTCTGAGGGTAAAGAGGTGCTGGGTGTGGGAATTCAGCAGTATGCACAGTAGGTAGACAGTTTCGGAAGGACTAGGGGAGAAGGCTAGAGTTGGATTGTGGGTAGGAGGGAGATGGCCTGTTCCGCCGGCAGTACACAGGGTCTGGTACTCGGCAGAGCACGGTCTGGGCTGCGTTCCGAGTTGTGTGGCAGGGTTCAGTGCTCCAGGGTCACATTTCGTGCTAGAGGGCAAGCTGAGGCCATTGCTAGAAATATCTCCCCAAACTCGGCTAACACCCAACGTTCCAAGCGCAGGCCCTGGCATCTTAAAAAAACATCTTCTCTAAAGCCTCCATGTCTTGACAAGCAAGGTCAATACCACAGATACTTTTATTACTTCTTGGCATTCACATCCCAAGCCCATCTTCCCACAGTCCTTTCGTCTACCAACCAGACAACTCAACCTCCCAGCGGTCTACGCGGGGAAAACTACAACTCCCAGAATGGTCTGCGCCCAGGCGGGCTCCCAAAAGAACCTATGCAGTTTCAAGCTTCGCGCGTTCCTTTGTCATTGGCTTTCAAGGCGACGCAGCCACCGGAGGTCCGTGGCGGTGATTGGCTGGCAGCTCCTGCTGCTCAAGATCCCAGAGGAGGCGACGGAGTCTGCGTAGTTCTCGGTGCAATGAGTCATCTGTTACCAGGCCCGTGAGGCGCAGGCGCGAGCTGCCCAGGGGCAGGATGAGAGGAGGGTGCGAAGAAAAACTTTCAAAGATATCCCCTGTGAGGGCGAGGAAGACCGAGTTAGAGATTCAGCATGGATGTGAGGTGGCCTAGCTCCTGAAGGAAAAAAACAAACAAACAAAATAAAACCCTGCAAATTCCAGCATCAAATGTGGTTCTCTGGGTCCCAAAGCATGATGGGAGTTGTAGTTAAGACTAGGAAAATAAAACAGGACCATTACCAGGCTGTGTAGTTGGGGCCCTGGAACCTTGAGGATGGGCGGGGAAATCTTGGAAGATTTCTTAGGTCAGAGGAGCCCAATTGCTATGTAAGCTGGGTTGGGGTTAGGTCTGTGGAGGGAAGGGGCTAGGGACTTAAGTCTAAGTAAAAAAATAATTAAATGCTTGAACTCTTAATGTACTGGGAATGGATCCTAGGGTAGTAAAGCCCCGCTGCTGTGTTATAAGCCCAGGCCCTAGTCTTTAAATCTTGAGAAGGTTTCTGGATAGAACAATTCTGGGTTCTAGGAAATGAAAGGGGCTGGATTCTCATCCAGAATCCTGGGTGAGAAAGAGGCTGGGGGCATGGACTCTAGGCCCCAAGAGAAGAAGACATCTCCAAGTTCGTTAGCCTATTTCTGCACACCTGTGTCCACAGCATCTCGCTCAGCAGGTGGCGGGTCCCAGGCTGGAGGTGCTCCACGACCAGGACCTAACTGGTAGTGGCTAAGGAGATGGTGGAGTTGAGCAGGCGTCAGGGTGGGGTAGTCAGTCCGTAGGCTGCTCCAGGACGCCTAGGGGAAGACCAGGTTAGAAGTGTATGGTCCCAGCTGGCCCGGAAGATCAGGCCTGACACCCCAGCTTCTTAGGCCAAGGCAAGAGGAGTCAAAGTGCAAGGCCAGTTTGGGCAACATAGTGAATCTATCTCTTAATTTTTTTTTTTAATTTACTATGTATACAATATTCTGTGTGTATGCCTGTAGGCCAGAAGAGGGCACCAGACCTCATTACAGATGGTTGTGAGCCACCATGTGGTTGCCGGGAATTGAACTCAGGACCTTTGGAAGAGCAGGCAATGCCCTTAACCGCTGAGCTATCTCTCCAGCCCCTCTATCTCTAATTTTAAAAGAAAAAGAGGTCTGGAGATGTAGGTTATGGTAGAGTGTTTTTGTAGCACGTGCAATGTCCTGGGTTCAACCCCCATACTGTAATAAGATATAAAGAAGTGAAATTAAGGGACTGGGATGAAGGCTCAGCAGATAAGAACACTGACTGCTCTTGCAGAGGACCCAGGTTCAATTCCCAGCACCCATGTGGTCTGTAACTCCAGTTCCAGAGGATCTATTTTCCTCTTCTGACATTCCAGAACATAGTACACATATATACATGTAGGCAAACATTCATACACATAAAGATAACTCTTTAAAAAAAAAGTGAAGGCCCAGTGTGGCTGTGAACACCTTTAATCCCAGCACTCAGAGGACAGAGGCAGGGGGATCGCTGTAGGTCAGCCTGGTCTACAGAGTAAATTCCAGGTCAACCAGAGCCACATAATAAGATCTTTAAAAACAAACAAACAAAAAAAACCCAAAGATTCTGTGATCTACCTGGTTAGCTTTCTCATCTACGAAAGTTGAACTAAAACCATCATTTGATAGATGGATGTATGCCCTTACTTCGAATGGGGTGTTTGTTACTGCTGTTACCAGAGATTCTGCTATGCAGTTCATACTCAGTGAACACTTAACCATCATCTTCCTCGGGCTCAAACCAGATTTGACTCACCACATCCAAGAGAAGGACCATGGGGAACTATTCCTAGCAAGCTCCACTAGCACTCAGACATTTTTGTCCAGCCATTCTCGATTCTGACTTCTGTAGCCACCAGTGGTCCATCACAATGTCTAATCTAGGGTTGGCTAAGACTTGGGGTCCCTAAGAGACTGAACAGAGAGGATGGCTGAGCTGCGCTGAAGAATCAAAAGTCACTTAGATAGAGCCATTAAGAGTCACCTT